ATCCATGCAACTCTCCGCGGATCCATTTGCAGCTAGCATATCCTCTGATTTTTGCACGATTCTTGCGCGATTTATCGGTTCATTACCGTTTTTTTTTGAGTTCCTCAGTCATCCATGTATGACTCTGTGGAATTAGTTGTATCCCTTTTACAATTAGCTCAGCCCTTCCTTTGAGGTGTCTTTGATAAAGAACAATTTTTTCTACTGTGGTTAAACTTTTGTTCTGATCCGCTGATGTGGTAAAGATACCCCAAAATTCGGAAAATTCCTCGTCGTCTCCATAAAAGCGTGGTAGCTCCATTTGTGGAATTTCAAACTTTGACAGGCCATTTCGTTACCATCTGTCGACATTTTGCTATCGTCAGAACTGTCCCCTGTAAGCCAGGCAGCTTCTGCTGGATTAATTACCTCATCAGCACTTTTACTCTGTGTAGGTCTTCCAGGATCCGATAATGTTTCAATCTGGGATAGACTGCTAGCTATACCAGCTTTCTCGCCATTTTCTCGGCGTAATTGTGCGCTTCTGATAGTCTTTTGGTCAATATGCACACCAAATCGATGGCTTTGGTCGTATAGTTGCATCTGCTTTATTGATCTTGCGGGCCTCTTCGTAATCTAGCAGCAGTTTGTCTACTAATAACTGCAGCGAATGCTGATTTGGATGACATTTATGGCACCCTTTATGCTGTTAATTGCCTCGCGGCACATTTAAAGGCAGTCTCACCAAAATTTAGCTGCCGAGATTTCTGCATTTTGCAAGCCTGTCGGACCCTGTTTAGCGCTGCATGGACTTAAAATCGCATGAAGTTCCCAAAATCCCCGTTTTCTGGAGGCCCCGGGAGCACGTGGACGAGTTGTACCTTGCAACTTCAGCCTCAGCCACAGTGGCAGCAACAGAGGGGAGGTGGTTGTCAAATGGAGGGACATGTCCAAACGCGTAAAGGAGGAGACCGAAGAAGTTGTCCGCGCGTACCAAATCGCTCTCCGCGTACCAGTTTGAGCGAATCTTTCTCAGCTTGGAGGGAGTCAAATTGAGTGGGACTTGTTGCAATGGCCTAGTTAGAGGTCCCTATAATAGAATATGTGAAGATCCCCGCGACCTCAACTTTGGTGAGACACTGCCTTTAACGCTCATTGTGACACTGACTTATCGTTCCCTCCACATTTGCTGCTACCCTTGGTCTGCGTCTCAGGCCTGCCACGTGTGGCTAACATGTTGGCAACGTGGCAACAACATGTTTGCAACATGCCACAACATGTTGGCAGAACATTTCTGACCATGCCAACATGTTGCTGCATGTTGCCAACGTGTTGCTGCCAACGTTGCCAACGTGTTAGTCATACGTGGCATGTCCGCGACGCCAGAAGAGTAGCAGCAAATGCGGAAGGGACGATAGCTTACAATAGAGCCCCGTTGACTCCGAACCCGCCCGCTTAACTGCGGGATAATTGATGTCTAGGTTGGTTCGGTCACAATACGTAGCAGATGGTCGAACAGTTGATGACCTATGAGAACCGGAGGTGTCAGGAGTCATGGTTGGCGCGAATTTTTCGCGAAGCGATGCCGTAAGCGATGTTAGCCATGCAAGAGCTGGCACTCCTGGCGCAGTCTTACTTATAACAGGAGTCATGTGTCTGCCCCATCCCCCAGCCCCCCCCCCCCCCTCCCACGCCATACCACTTTATCACCGGACAATTTTGAGCGGTCCAGAATTTAGGCGCGGCACGGCCATTGCGCAGCGTGACTCCTGACACGGAGCCTGAAAACCTTTCTGGGACGCAAGCCATTTATTTTGCATTTCCCAGAATTGTTCCCATATGGATCATCAACGTGGTTGCCCATCGTTTCAACACGTTAGCTCCAGCAAATCTGAGACGCTTCTTCGAAGCTGACATGTTAACACATTGACGACAAGGCCGATTTTTCGATTGCTGCCATTTCGGACAGGAGCCTTTCTTGCTCTGCCAAACTTACAACCCACCCGCTCAGATAATCGCCGGGGGCAGGCGGTCCGCAAACTCGCGCTTTTCTGCAGGCGGTCAGCAGAATTTTGGGGCGTGGCCAAACCTTCAGCGGGCGGTACTTCCGCGTTCTGCCAGCGGGCAGCAATACAGAATTTTCTGCGAGCGCTCGTCAAATAATATCTTCCAGCGAGCGCTGGCCAAACTTTCAGCAAGCGCTCGGACACTTCTTAGGTATTTTCGGGCGTACGTCGAGCGCAGGTAAGACTCTGTGTGGCAGAGGTGTCACTGTTGGTTTAATTACTCAAGTTTGAGGTACTTTCTCTCAGCGGAAAGTACCTGGGGGTTGCGCGGTCCTCCACAAAGGAACGTGCGGCCCTCGAAATTTTTGCATATTCTCGCGGAAAGTCCGCGAGAATGCGGCCACTGCGCCGCAGCTAATCCATAAAGAAACCGCGATTGTTCTTCAAGCATTCGTCTTTAATTTTGCCAACTTTCTTCCAAATTTCTGCAAGCCGGCCGCAAAAAATCAACGAACTATTTTTCCGGTGTGCGCTTGCTCAAAATTCGCATGGCCGCCTGCCCCCGGCGGTTATCTGAGCGTGGGTCGTATTGTCCGAAAGGTAGTCTTTTTGTAAGAAATTCAAAACATATCTCTGAGAATGTCCCACAAGGGTTATCGAAGGCGCTGATTATCAAAATATGATTTGTTTCAGTTTTTGGCAGTATACGGTAAGATTACGGTAGTCACTCTGTACGAACCCAACATCACGGATTTTCGTGAAAAATTGTATTTTGGGGTTATTTCACATGCTGATCACGATTATAGTGTCCACTTTGTTCACTACTTCCCCACAGTGGGACTACGGTAGCAGTACGGTGGAATTTTTTTGAGAATCAAGAAACTGATGTAAGAAGGCGGTATTAGAACTTGAAACTATCATTTTCGTAATCAGCATGCTAAAAACCTATATATGCAAGGTTTGAGCTTCCTGGGATGAACAATGCGAAAAATCAATAAAATCAATAAAATCGATAATTTTTGATGGGCTGACATGAGTCTCATGCTCTCCCTGTATTTCTTGTGCATGTAAACTTGAATTGTCAAAAACAGCACCACCTCAGATAACCGCCGGGGGCAGGCGGCCATGCGAATTTTGAGGCGCGCACCGGAAAAATAGTTCGTTGATTTTTTGCGGCCCGCTTGCAGAAATCTGGAAGAAAGTTGGCGAAATCAAAGACGAATGCTTGAAGAACAATCGCGGTTTATTTATGGATTAGCTGCGGCGCAGTGGCCGCATTCTCGCGGACTTTCCGCGAAAATATGCAAAAATTTCGAGGGCCGCACGGTCCTTGGTGGAGGACCGCGCAACCCCCAGGTACTTTCCGCTGAGAGAAAGTACCTCAAACTTGAGTAATTAAACCAACGGTGACACCTCTGCCACACAGAGTCTTACCTGCGCTCGACGTACGCCCGAAAATGCCTCAAAAGAGTCCGAGCGCTCGCTGAAAGAAATTATTTGCCGAGCGCTTGCAAAAAAATGCTGTACTGCTGCCCTCTGGCAGAATATGCGACCGTAAAGGAAGTGCCGCCCGCTGAAGGTTTGGCCACGCCCCAAAATTCTGCTGACCGCCTGTAGAAAAGCGCGAGTTCGCGGACCGCCTGCCCCCGGCGATTATCTGAGACTCTGCAAGAAATTCGAGCTAAAATCTGTGCCTTACTATCTACGGTATACCTACCGTAACATTACATTACAGTACCCCGGACCCAGACCACTCCGGCTAGAGCTTCGCCAAGGTGTCCCCAATCATGTGCCAGAACACCGTAGAATTCCACCGCATGCTGGCAAAGTTAAAGCTTTCGACTTACGACCCACCGGTGGGTCGTATCGTCGTCAATGTGTTAAAATGATGAAAGACAGCCACGTTGATGGTTCATATGGGAACATTTCCGGGGGATGCACCATATTTATCGTATAGCTTGATAAAGAACAAAAAATCCGCCTGCCGAACTTGTGTCAAAGCGTTTCCCATGTCGGACCATCTAACTAGTCCGCGTTACATGCGCAGTTTTGATGACGATAATGGTATTAACAACGCCCTCTTGCCCTCAAACGAAGCAATGATGAAACAAATGGTAATGAGCAGTTCGATGACGGCAATGGTTTCCTACTCCCAAGCCATGGTCAAAGATGAAAGCTCGGGACGAGCTTTACTATGGAATGGACATGTCGAGACGCAGACTAGTTAGATGGTCCGACAGTCCCCTCGCCAACTGGGCGGTGCCCAGCAACTCCAGATGAGCTGTGCCTAACCGGGTGACCGGCGGTTTTCCTTCCCCTCTCTTTCTATATATAAGTATATAATGAAGATTCTAGTCATAATGTTATGTTCATGTAAAGCAGAACAACCAGGGTGAAGGATTTAAGTCGGGAGAATGCACCTCCTGGACTTGACACCCATCTAGGCAGCGCAAAATGTTGAGTCCACGCGGTTCTTATCAACCAGTGCTTTATCATCACTTTCCGCCTCGTATGATGACTTCTCCTTACGAAAGCCAATAAAAAGACTCAGAAATGCTCACTTTGAGATTTTAATAGTTGTCTTTAGAGACTTTATCTCCTATCACTCACGCATAGTTGGCTTGACTTCATAACGCAAAAGAGTTTGAAGTTCAATATTTTAAGATAAATCATTAAAGAATATGATTCTATTCTTTTGAAATTATCTGAATGCAGTAAGGGACCATTCAAAGAGTAAGAAGTGCTCGTATTCCATTTGAAAGTGAGATTTCTAAAACTACAGGCATATTTTGCGGACAAAACACATAGCTGACGGCTTTGTTAATTCGCATATGTCAGGACTTTGAGACACTGAGGCACTGGACCTCCAGGATTTGCTTCTTTCATTGATTTTGTGCACTAATTCCATTTTCTGCTTCTTATATCTTCATCTTGATGGACGAGCTACGCTTTTTACAATACTGTGCTATATAGGAATACTGTTTACTTTCTATTGCTTCTTACTTACTTTTTCAGGTCCGATATGTCAGCCAGGTCTTTTGTGGATGGACTTTTGAAGTCGCACAAAGTTGTTGTTTTCTCCAAGTCTTATTGTCCGTATTGTCACAAAGTAAGTTCGATTTTTGTCTTCCTGTATGAAGATAACAGTGTGCTTTCTAGACCATCATTTTTAGTGATCAAATTGTAGGCAAAAGCAGCACTGGAAAGTTGTAACGTCAAGCCCGACGCTATGGCATGGATTGAGATCGAAGATAGACCAGATTGTGCGCAAATCCAAGACTATCTGAAGGTTTGTCAACTGCCTTCAGTTTTAATTTTGCTATAGAAAAGACAGGAAGTGGTTTTCATTGTCAATTCAGTATTTCATTGAAGAGTACTGTGTCGAATACCTTTCGGTAACTTTCAGGGTCAAGCGTGGGGTGCGGCACGCCACACCTGTGGCAGTATTCATCAAAGAAACCCGTAGGTTCCGGAACCCACTGGGTTAGTGCTTTTGATGAATATCGATTCTACTCCAGGGAAGAATCAATATTCATCAAAAGCACTAACCCAGTGGGTTCCGGAACCCACGGGTTTCGTTGATGAATACGGCCACTGGGGGTCGTATTGAGAAGTCAAAAGGGGAGGGAGTCGTAGTTGGGTAATCTGATAATAGTGATAACATAATATTCGTATCTTATCCATAATTAACATGTCAACTAACCCCTGTAGACAAAGTGTGAGCGAATTCTGAAGATTTAAGATACTAGGCTACCTAAGTGAAATGGTCAATTTCCAACATGGTTAACTTTGTTTCAAAGGTGAATTAGCTATCCGTTTTTGCACTCAAGACAAAGCAGTACTCCTTCTTTGTCCACTTCAGGAATCCCGCTTCAGAAGACCTCCAAACTGTGGAATTAGAAGCCAACCAAAATCTCGTTTCCATTTTTCGCTTTTGATCGCTGTGCTTCCACCAAATATTATGTAGAGATAAGAAGACGAATCAGGTTCAAAACAATCCTTTGGAATCTACAAGGTTTAGGCTATCGATTCATATAAATACTGTCCGCTAAAAATGTTTTTTTGATATAGTTAATGGGGTGCGGCCCCCCCCCCCCTCCCACCCCTTAAAAGCTGCGGCCGCCGCGGCCCATTATGTTTGACAGGGTCTTCAAGTAATGCTATCTTAAGTGTATAGTCAGGGGGGGGGGGTCTTATTAAGACAGCAATCAGGGGGGGGTCGTAACCAGCGATCGTGTGCCACACCCCTTGCTTGACCCTGGTAACTTTCAAAATACTATTATGTTAAGCTTGCATGAGCGTTCCTCATAGATTCAGACTATGAGCACTTTCAGCATTTCGCTTTTTTTGTGACATGTTGAGTATGTTTTTCTTTACTCTGAGTAGTGCAGTAAGATTTCAGTGATGTCAGCTTTGCTGTATCGTGGTCTTATCTCGAGTAACATATCTTTAGAATAACCTGCGACTGAGGAATGAGCTGCAGAACGCTACATTTCGCATGTCAGCGTTGAAAATAAGCGCAACTTCTTTCCGCCAAAGAATATTTCCAAGTTCGTGTACCCTGCAAAACATAGATAATTTTCGACGACAAATGCAAATTTGTCGCAACTTATGGAGAAACCTAATCATTTATGTCATTAAGCATTATGAAATTGTAAGATTCTTTTATTTGAATGGTTTTATTTCGTTTTAGGATCTGACCGGAGCTCGTTCAGTACCTCGAGTCTTCATTAACCAGAAGTTCTTTGGTGGTGGGGATGACACCGCTGCTGCTGCAAAGAATGGAAAGCTTGCTAAGCTGTTGAAAGAGGCTGAGGCAATTTGATTCGCTATTTCGTTTCTAATTTCTTCATTTCATCTGCTTTGCTTTCGGCGGACCCTCTTCCTCTACTTATCACTTTTTCTTATGGTATGGAGTATTCAGTATTGAGATTTCCGTCTGTTCTTTTCATTCTTTTCTGAGAAATCTTTGATGATAGAAGTGACTTAGCAAATTCATTCGTTACAATGTTGTAGTCCATTTGTATGTGATACCTCATAGAGAGCTTTCTTAGGCACAGCTTATATGAGTGTGTTGTTGTAGGATCAGATTCTTGACTTCAACATATATGTCGTGGATGATCTTGTGCGATTTTTACCTCTCTGAACAAATTTCTCATTCCTTACAACAGTTCAACTACGAAACATACACTAATTATGCAAGCAGTCAATAAACAATTTTATGGTCAAATGAAAGCAACTGAACTGCAAAAACAAACTGAACACAATTCATATGTGTGAGACCAGAAAATGAGCCCGTATCGTTTTGACAATGAAATTCTATTTCTAGCAGATTATGTTCACTTTCTGGGCAAGAAAACTATCGTTTGGCGTATCTAGGATAAGAGCAAATGAGGTAAAAACATGCAGTTTTATGGTAACTAGAGCGTAAATAAGATTGTTTGCTTAGGACAAAGAATAACAAAGAAGAATATATATCTACAAAGCATAGCGCCGTTATAGAGGCACTGTGGCACATCCATTTGTTCGCAATTCAGCGGCGATTTTTTCAGACTCGCCGTGGAACTAGTCTAGCTTGTGCAAATTGTCGAGAACGTCAAAGCGAGATGAACAACGCGTAGTTTAGCAATTTCTTCTTTTGGCTTCTATGAGTACATTGAGCTGATCAGAATATCGTCCTCATCGGAATCAGCCTGAAATGAAGTAATCAGCTCGTTCATATATAACAACAAAGAAACAAATCAGTGAGGGAAGTGCTATGGGGGGGGGGGGGGAGCGTCTTGAGGGCTACTCTTGTTGCTAGTGAGATATTATGCTTTTCAGATTTCTATGAAGGCATCTCACTTTGCGCTGCAATGTTTCCTTTCAAGATGGCAGCGCCCAAGATGACTCACTCCATTCAAGACTGAGCCTTTGTCTGATGGTGTGCGGAGGGCAGAAGCTTTTGCTAGCATACACTAATCTTCTTCAACGATCGATCACACTCTTTAGCACTTTTTAGCCGCCGACTTACCATGGCCAGATGGTCAGACAGACAGATAGTGCTTGTTTCTCTTGCATCAGCTTCTTCTCTGCGATCCCTTTTGAATACTATGTGTAGTACTGCCAGTGTACCAAAGCGCTTTTAAGCAGTATTAATCCCTTTTCTATTTTCAAGGGAGAGTGCTTTTGGGTGCAGCACCTAGGCAAATTCGGGCACATAATGAACTAAGGACTGATGACAGGGTTAGCGCGTTAGTCAAAGCTCCCTTAACGTTTTTGTGTATGAAATTCGTATGTCCAAATTTGCCTGAATTACTGCTTTCAATTTTTTCGGCTTTCTAGCTGCGCTCTCCTTCATCATGCTCGAATCCTCCAGGAAATCTACAAACTTTCTGTTGCTCTACCCATTTCTTTTCATACCCACTCTTCTTCAAAGTGCATTTTTGTACCAGTGACAGTCAGAGAATATTTATTCAGAGAAGGTGACGACGGAAAGAATTTTCATTTGAAGAAGCCCGCCCTTCAAAAACATTTGGGCTGCTCCTCAACAGGGTCCTCGAAATTTTGAAGCGTGGCTGCAAATACGCCCCAAAATTTTTTTGGTTACCAGCTGGCATTTTTAGACATTTCCAAAATCGTTGCTATTTTTCAGGTGTAAAACAAAACTGTTGCATAATTCATTATCTCATTTAAGTGAATTCCAATACCCACTTAGACATGTTTTTTTCCACCGTTCATGCTTTTATTTCTCATCACTTTCATTCCTTATCTTTTTCTTTTCCAGACTTGCGTACATTCAGTGAGCGGCTTCGTACGACCCTCTCCTTCAACATTTTCAATGGAAGATCACGCGGCTGAGCCAAGGCGACTGCGCCAAAACCCTTTTTTCAGTCGTACTTCTTGGAATGAGGCTGAAAACAGTTCTAGCTCCGACTCCGAGTCAACATTTTGCGGGACCGATACTGGGATATTAGGCTCTTCTCTTCGTCGTCAGGAACCAGCCATGTTCTTACTCGCAGATCTACCCGTCAAGCAGAGTATGGCAAAATTATTCAACCTAGGCTGTTCCGCTATCGGCGCCTACAAAACCCTCAACGATGATCAAAAATCCCACCGGGTAGTAGCCACAGTTCCCAGCATGTCAGCTTATCCTGTCCGGCTTGATTTCGAGTTACGTGGCATGGCAAATGAAGCCGGCTGGGCACCTGGACGAGTTTGCGTTGTCGCAATACAGGAGCCAAACGCCCATATTGGCTACGCACAAATTCGTTCTGTCAAGTTACGATCCTCGGATAGAGTGCTTCGCGTTTCCGTCACTGCATTTTCCTCGTCCCACGAGGTTCTGATGGACGACATTTGTGATTATTGCGAAGTTCTTGACGAAGATGAAGGAGAGATAGACGTTTGCGTACGTCTTATGAAGCCGTTTGCCTGCTCAGCTTCAGTTTATGAGGCCATATCGAGAAGCGACATGTACAAGGAACTTATTCCAAACAGTGTGGGCGATTCTGTGCTGGATACGGTATACGGTGGAGCGCTGGCCTGCGCAGACGTGGACGAGTATGTTTTCTGAAGATGGTGAAGCTCACAGACGATAAATATCTCGATATCAGCTGCTTACTTATTACTCTCAGTATATGCATTTAATTGAATATTTTCCATAACAATATCTACAAATAAGCATTAGCCTTCCATATCTACACCTTCAGAAGATATCAAGAAGTTAAGCGTCATATTCGGTGAGTTTTCCGTCCATACTTTTATCTTTTTGAAATCTAAAGCGGAACTGGATATACAGTCGGTCCCATTTTAGCAGTCTTTTTGTGTAATTGCAACATTTTTGCATTCTGCCGTGAAGCAGCAGTTGGCGGTGAAGAAAATAAGTTTACGAGATTATACAAATTTGTTTGCATATACTAAAAAAGGCTTTAAGGTCTAAAGTTATCGGCTTGGTTGACAAATTTGAAAAGTATGGAATTACACTAATCGACTGCTGAGATGAGGAAGACTACCTTTTATTCAACTATATTGGCGGCTGAAAGGCGGAGCTTCGTGACCTACTTAAGGCCAGAGAGTGACCAGAGAGCACGTTCGCGAGAGAGATGCAGACTGCGTAGCGGCGCGAGCGGTCGCCTTCCAGCCGCCAATGTCGTTGAATCAAAGGGTATATTTGCAGCTGTGCTACTTTCGACTCTGTCTATTTAGCGCGGCTGCGTATAATGTATCGAACGAACTATCAAGATACTCAGCTCACGTTATCAGCATTTTTCACCTGAGCAAGCTATCAGCAATATCTCCTAAGAAGTGCCTCGGCTTTTGATTATTGGCGAGTTTTCCTCTCCTTTTAGTTTTTTGACTCTGAGAAGTGGTACAAAGTATGAAGGATTCTTTCCAGTGCAGCGATACATGGATTGAGCAAAAATCTAACAGCAATGTAGCGAATTTCCATTCTCCACCACAGATCTCTTGACCTTCAAATAATCTTTCACCACCCAGTCAGTTGAATTTAGTGAGTTTTCATCTCGTGCTATTACTTTTATTTTTGAGTCATGACATAAAATGTTATTTTCCAGCGCCTGCATCGCTCTTTTAATGGCTTCCTCCGAGGAAATATTCAAAGAAAAATTGACTGGGATTTCCACTCTATATCGTTCGAATGGCATCTTCATTCTCCATTGTCGGACTTTAGCAAGACAATGTAGCCGTCCAGCAGAATGCCGCACAACACCAGACTCACATTTCCGCTTGCCTTATCTTATTTTTTGTTATAGTTAGTCCTAATAAAGCATTCTTAAAAATCCCTCTCAACTCTTGGAATTCTTAACCGTTCAATACGATTATGGAAAAAGTAGAGGAAAAACTATCAGAAATCAAGAAATCAGTAGGCTGTGCGATAGTGGGGGGCCCTGTCTGTAAATTGATGACTGCCATCTGTTTTTGCGGGGGAGATCTACCCTTCTCTATGATGCAGGCGCCATAGTTATATAACACCCAGACCGGTTGAGAAAATGGTGAGCACTAAATAGCGGGCATTTGGAATCTGGCACAGTGAAACCAAAATCAAAAGGGCATTTACGTTGGAATTCGCTCTAGACGTATTTAGTTATACATTTCTATTCAGAAAAAAAAACTTCTCATTCATCAATAATTAGCCACTGCGAACACCGCGTTTGATTCCGCTTGCGTAACAGCAAGCAACAAATGGCCGGTGTTTAGTGCGCCGCGTTTGTCGACCGTTTTGAGAAATAGTACGTGACTCAATGGAAGAATTCTTGGACACAAGGAGGGGGGGGGCGAGAAAGAGTTAACAAGAAATTGAATTTTCTACCTGTAGCAGATTGCCACGGCGATTGCGCGCCAGTACTTTTGCTCGTGCACGTCGTCGAATGACCATCACTATCAACACGGCCAAAACTGCAAAAGCTGCCAATATCAAAAATTCTTCTTTTGTGGGCAGCCATGTGGAACTATCTGGAATAATTAAAACCGTGGTCGATGAACTTCAAAAAATTTGCAAACCTTCGGGCGCCCCTGTAGTAGGCGTTGCTTGTGTAGTAGGTACTGGGCGGTTTACATTTCCTTGTAATCCACCATCATATTGGTTTTGTCTTGCTCTGCAAAGAAAAATCAACTTTGGGCAAAAAAATGCTTCTATCTCGGTTAAAAAGTGGTGGTATAGCATTGCCCAGAATATTTTATTTTTATGCACCTTTTCGGCGTATAGAATCACAGAAATTTGAATATTTTTGGTTTTTAGAAAAGCTTACTCTGCTTCAAGTGCGCTAAGAACTTTTGACAGCTCATTGTCGTCAATATCATGCATGGTGGAAGATTGATTCTCGGCAAGAAATAGGTGAGAGGGGGGGGGGAGTACGGGAGTACTTAGGCGCAGCGCTTATCAGAAAAGGCTTGTTTATCAGTTTGGCGTTCAAAATCAATAAATTTGGTTATGATAGTGATAAAACGAAAAGAAAACAGCAGATAAATGACTAAATTCTTGTTTGCCTAGCACGGGGATCTAATAATCGAAATTTTGAAGGGAAGACTTGGGCATATTTGGGTACCTGGATGTCTTCTGTAAGAATTTATCGGAAGGTATCTGAACCATCAGTGCAGCGATAACCTATATTTAATCGTGGAGAAAAATTTATTTCTAAATTTTTGCCCAGACCGTATCTATTGTGAAGATGCCGATTGATTAGAAAATCACGGTCTCGGCAAAAGTTTAGATTTGAATTCCTCCAGCGCGAATAATCTATGATCGGCTCCCAGATTCGTGTGGAGACGGGTGCGGACTTCCGTGATTTTAAGGATAAGCTTGACGAGAGAGTACGAAATACAATGCTATAACGTGGAGGTTTAACAAGTTAATCTTGAAAATCAGGGAAGTTCGCAAGCCGCCTCCACATGAATCTTGGAGCCAATGATATATGAGCTGCTGCTTCGGGATAGGCTGAGACCTAGTAAATCATTTTATACCCAAGAATCCGAGTTTCCCCGATTTTTCAGAGCCTTTGACAAATAGGCTATCAGTGCTAATACGATAAATTTCTTAACAAGCATTAACTTCTTTGTCTTGATACCAATATCATCCCGCGAATTCCTGCTCCATTTCTCACCTCCAATTTTCGCAATTCCATTCATCTGATCCGTCTGAGCATTGTGGAATTCCGTCACAAACATCATAACGTGCTATACATTCACCATTTCGACAAGGCCATTGCCATTCTCCTGTAACATCCCAAAATCCCTATCAAAACTATTGAGATTCACATTTCTTGAATTGCAGGCATAGTACAACCTAATCTTCTAAGAAAAAAGCATAAAAATATGATTTCCAAATTCTCAAAATGGTGATATAGATCAAAATGAAACGAATGAAGAGCCAAAGTCGAGAAAATTATTTATCTGTAAGATTCCATGATGTCTCACAAATAAAGTTACTTACCTGAACATTGTGGTAACTGTTTTGGTGGTGCATCCAAATTCGATTGCATTCCCATCGAGCTTTCAAGCTGGAATCATTACAGCTGAGTGGAAAACAAAGCCTTGTTTTATCAAATTAAAAGCAAATCGCTATACTCAGCAGAATAAATATCTTATCAGATTTTGAGAGAAGCAGTTGATCAATTGTAAAAGTGAGATCTCTTGCCTTTTGTTGACGAGCAAAACCAATTAGCAATGTTGACTATTCTATTGTGGTAAATTTATCAAACCTCACAATAAGAGAAGGTATCGGAAAAATTTCTTATAAATCATATGTAAATAAGAAACGAATTTACCGGCACTTCAAAAATTTAATGGATGTCAAAAATTTAATATAACGAATTCATCTTAAAATCAGTAACATAGTAGCTGAAGCTTGTAAGAAAAGGTTAGCAGAACGAAAATGCTAGAAAATATTTCAATATACTGGAAAAATGTTAATATATAAGTTACTAGCTCAATTTTTGTGAGGCAATAATGTACGAAAACAACTACCTCTCTGATTATACGTTTAAACTAAACAGTCAAAGAATAAAATTTCAGAACTAGTCCAAAATTTGTTTAGAATACGACAGTGCAAATTTTGCATCACTGTTTGGATATTTATAAGCTGCGAATTCCATTTACTTTGATTAATCAAAATTATTATCGCTTGAAGGGTAAACCCATACTAGTGAGAATTTTTCAAAGCTCAAAATTGTACAAATTTTCCATAGGTCCCTATCAAGAATCTGGCAAATGGCAAAAGGGGACTTTCTACTAGAAGCCCTAATCAAGGTGAAATTTTACTGGTCAATGTAGCTGAAAGTTTTGTGACTGAATAGACCTTTATTTGCCATTTCAATGAAAAAATATTTTACAGTCCCTTCGAAAGCTGAAGAGTCACAAAGAAACATTAAAAAAATATCACATACATAGCGAGTTGAGAAACAAGGCAGGTCTTAGAACAAAAAGTTTTTTCATATCAGAGATAATAAAACATTCTTTGAATAAAAAAAAACACTAAACATCCAGACTTACCTGGGCTGAAAGCAGATCGAACAGCTGAAGAAGAACAGTGAGAAGAGGAATCATTCCGCGTGTGCGTTATGATGCCATTCGTAGAGCGGCTGAAGCTGCTCAACTGCTGCTGACCAGCGATCGATACGAGCCCTCAGGGCCAGAGAAGGTTCCAGACGCAGAAGCCGCACTTACACTTCCGCCAGCGTTCATTGAGACCATTGGCAGTGTTCGAGAAACTGCAAAGAGCCGCTGATTGAACGACAAGCCGCAAATTTGTTCACTTAGAAAAACTTAGCATGTTGCAGAATGTCTCTAATAGTGGAAACTGCATTAGCTGCTCATACCATTGATACAAAGCAACTGCTTCCACCCTAGTGTGGACTACCGTGAAGTTGCTTGGATGGAGCTTCAAACAAAATCACGGATTCTGCAGTCGTCTAAAAAGGAAAAATTTTGAAAAAAAACCAGATATCCCTTATAAGGTAATGTCGAGGCAAAAGTTTCCAAAATTTTCATGTGGAGACCAATTTGGAGGCCTTAGCTGAGCCGTTGCCCAAACTACACCCATATGATACATTCGAGTCCGAGATAAACTCAAGCCCAGACCGTATTTTATGGGTTAGTCAGCAACCTTGAATAGTGTAGAAATAACGGTCTGGGTTCATCAGAGATGAATTTTGTGGCCAAGGATGGATCTTTTGGGCTGTTTTGTCCAGTTGCTTAGTTAAGCATCCTGGTCGGTATCTATATAAGAAGTATAGATTCGAAGGTTTTTAAGGACTTTTCAAAATACCAACTCACTCGAAATGCATGTTCAGAGAAGTTCACAACTTTCAAAATTCGTCATTCTTAACACGAACATAAATTAAGCTTCTTTATTGTTTTCCACCTCTTCATTGTTCAGCTCAAATCTGTTCCCGTTGGAAAAGTTTGAAAAATAACAGACATATACAGGGTGTCCCAAAAGTAAGTACGCACTTTTTAATCGTTAATATCTCTCTTCTCATTGGGTCTTTTTCCGCCGTTCAAGTACCATTTTGTAGAGGAGGCTTCAACTTAGACTTACAGCAACGAGCGAACCACCGACCGCTTTTCTTTACTGTAGGATTAAGGTAAGAACTTCCAGCATGCGGAACCATTGTGAAATATGCCATCCGACAAAATTTTCTCCAAAAATCTGAAAAATCGTGTACAAAGGTTTTTGCGCACGCCGATTCCATTACACAACTTTTTGCAAGTGTTTTCAGCTTTTCTAACAGCGTAATTACAGTTCCGACAAATGCTGGTAACTCGGTTGTTACGGTTTACCTAAGATATCTTAGGAAAAAAGCACCAGAGTCAAGTGGAAGTTTCATATTTGAAATCAGCGGCTTCCGCAACCATAGTATAAGAGTTTTTGGCTTGTTTGGTTTTGTTCCAGGCAGAATATGGCTTGCAACGGCCTAGAATCCTTGTCGAAGTTTCTACAGTAATCCTACAGTAACGAAGAGCGATCGGTGATTCGCTTGATATTGTAAATCTAAGTTGAAGCCTCCCCTACAGGATGACATTTAAGTGGCTGAAAAAGACACAATGGGAAGAGAGATATTAACTATTGAAAAGTGTGTACTTACTTTTGGGACACCCTGTATTTCTGGATTTGTGAACAGATTTAGAAATTTATTTCAAATGCTTAGCACTACTGGTATCTATACTGGTATGTGAAATTTCATGCTATGAGACTTTGCCTGTGAAAACAATACTATGAAATTTGGACTCGATAAACGTCGTTCTTTACATGCGAGTTTCAAGTAAGGAAAAGGGCTCAGATTACTTGGAGGATAGTCATACGGCAAGATAAAGTTAGGTAGAGAAAGTAGGTACTAAGCAAGCTTATCGAACAAAAGATAGCTTGCTCGAAAATTGCTATGTTAAAAAACTTAAAGGCAGCGTCTAGGCAGATCTGAACCTATGGGTATTTTACGTGGAAAGTACTTTTGGGGCCCTAACTAAGCCACTGCCTAACCGGCAGCTCAGGCAGTGCACTAACGGCTGAGATAGTCACCTCGAAACTGGACCCCTGGATCGTATTCGCATGGATTCATGGCGCAAACCATCACTTACGAGCAAGGACCAATGGGTTGCGCCATGAATCCATGCAAAGTACGATCCCGGGATCCAGTTTCGAGGTGACTATCTCAGCCGTTAGTGCACAGCCTGAGCTGCCGGTTAGGCAGTGGCTTAGTTAGGGCTCCAAGATTACTATCCACGTGAGAGCCTCATATATTCAGATTTAACGGACGCTGCCTTTAAGGTAGCAGTATACTGAGTAAACATCATTGAGGCTGACCGGGAATCCGGTACAAGAGTAGCTTACACAAGAAATTCTTGTGCAAAAGCTTCGCAGTTGAAAGTGAGTTCCCCTTTCGTACCGTTTCATTGACTTAGCTTTGAGCTAACTGCCATAACCTATTATATTATTAGGTTAGTTATGTCTCGCTAAAGCTTTGAACTTTCAAATCCAATTCCACAAAGTTCGTATGTTTGTTTCATTCAATATAATTGAGAGGAGAGGGAAGGAGAGTAAGAGAGAGGAACAGAGGGGAAAATGAGAGGGAGGGAGAGAGAGAGAAAGAAAGAGAAAAGAAATTGACTTTTTCTTACTGACATTGTATTGGCATACAAACTATGATGATAAAGAAAACACAAATTTTTTTCCTTTTTAGTCGCCAAAAATGCTAAAAGATCCAATAAAAACTGATTTCCTTTCTGATTATGATTTTACCCTTTTTGATTGAAGGGAAGTCATTGAGTTGGATGTTCTATTATAAGTTGTTCCGAATCAGGGCGCGGCACAGGTGGCTTAGCAAGCAAGCTGGATATCGTTTTTGGGGAAAAAGCAAAGGGGATATCGTTTTTGCGGAAGAGCATAACGTTGTCTTTCGATCTGCGGCCGGCACGCTGCCGGCATGCCGCCAGCAAATAAACAAAGGGTTTGTTTACAGCGGAGTGAGGATGAAATGACGCCAAAATAGGTGTGTAGATGGGCATTGGGGAGTTAGGACTAACAAGGAATGCTTGTTTAGTCGAAGTGGCCTTTTTTGATGGGATGTACACAATATTGTAGAGCATAAAATGCTGATTCCAAATCTGCCTTCCTTATCTGCAGAACGTTTATGGACGAGAAGTTATGAGCGTTTTTTGGAGTCAAAAATCGAATGTGAAAGTGTGACAAAAATAATCGTAATACTTTTTCTAGCTCTTCAACGGAGCAATGCTAATCACTAGAACACTTCACTTGAAAAATACTCTAAAATAAAAATTATACCACACTTGATTACGATAATTGAAGGTTAGTAAGATTTTAACAACTCATTTTATTTAAAATGCACATTCAATTTTTGGCTCCAAAAACGCTCATAACTTCTCGTCCATAAACGTTCTGCAGATAAGGAAGACAGTTTTGGAATCAGCGTTTTATGCGCTTTAATATGGTATACATCTCATTTGGAAAGGCCACTTCGACTAAACAAGCTTCCCTTGTAAGTATGAAAAATTATGAAAAAATTATGTGAACTAAAGGCGTGCTCAACTTTTTTCGGAGTTAGGTGGCTTTCAAGCCACCTGGATAGCCACCTGAGGTGGCTTATGAAAGAGAAATTCATAAATTTTTCCTCCCTCACATAATTTTTCTACTTTCTTTACATATTTTTCATCTACATCCCAAACCCTACAAAATGGTTCCTAAACCGCCTCAAACCCCTTTCTCCCGGCTTAGTTATAGCCCCTTGAAAATTTTGAATGGCGGCGGAAAGGCTGCTCTAAGCGCGTATTGCTGCACGATAGATACATCATGCCGCCAATCCGGAGAATATGAATATCATCGCGTGTGTTCGATGATTCTTTTTTGTTTTTTTTGCTGTTGCTTTGTTCCGTTCCTTTTCGTGTATTTTTTTTTGTTCGAATATCTCGTGGCGGATGTCGTAATTTCATTGAAGTCAAAGGTGACTTGATTTTTTGCAATTTCGGGACGCCACCTCGTGCCGAGCCCTGGTCTAGGGTCAAAGGGGACTTCGTAAACATTCGCAGAAGTCAAGGGGGACTTCGTTTTTTGCATTTTCAACTAGCCACCTCGTGCCGAGCCCTGTTCCGAATTCTTACTCTACAATTCGACTTTATTCCGAATAAGTCAATATGTTGAAATAAAATATTCGTTTATGTTACGAAAAGACTCTAGATTGAAACACTTGCACACAAAATAAATTTTTTAAATTTTAAAAATTTCAAATTTCGGGTTCATTATGGACCAACATAATACATTCATTAGGGTGCTTCCCTTTCTTGTCTTAGTCAGTTTTAGTCTAGGGTATGTTAGCTGCCCTGTCGAATTTTGGCTAGAGTATACAGGGTGTCCCAAAAAAATGTGAACACTGTTTGATCGTTAATAACGTCCTTGCTTTCAAGCTTTTCGCCGAGCTTGAGGCACCGTTTTATAGAGCGAGGTTCAACTTAGACATACAGTATGGAGCGAATCACAATCACTCTTCGTTACCGTAGGATTACGGTAAGAACTTCTAGTATGTGGACCCATTGTGAAATATGCCATTCCATAAAATTTTTCCCAAAATATCTAAAAAATCGTGTACTAGGGTTTTTGCGCACGCTGATTCCATTGCACAACTTATTACAAGTGTTCTTAGCTTTTTTGACGGTGTAATCACATTCTTGACAAATGCTGGGAATTCAGTTATTACGATTTACCTGGGACAACCTTGGAAAAAAGCATCACAGTAAAGTGGAAATTTCATATTCGCAATCAGCGACTTCCATTACCATAGTACAAGAGTTTTTGGCCTGTTTGGTTTTGTTTCGAAGCAGAATATGGCCTCAATGGCCTAAAATCCTTGTCAAAATCGCTACCGTAATCCTACAGTAATGAAAAGTGATCGATAATTCGCTCCATACTGTATGTCTAAGTTGAACCTCGCTCTATAAAATGGTGCCTCAAGCTCGGCGAAAAGCTTGAGAGCAAGGGAGTTATTAACGATCAAACAGTGTTCACATTTTTTTGGGACACCCTGTATAGAACTTACCAGTAGATTTTAGAATTCACATTTTTTGCCACATATGCAAAATAAAAAATTTGTCGTAGACTTGTGGAAAGACTTTCAGACGCCATTGGTGATGGATGGAAGGTGATGGAGTAAACTTATAATAACTCGTCTGGCTGGTCTTCTTGAGGTACTCTTCCAACCCATAACATTTGCAATGTTATAACCTCAGAGAAAACTTTTTTACTTTTTTACTCATTGTATTCCCAAAGAAAAACAATCTCGCTTCTTTCACTGGAAGCCAAGGTCTTCGGCAGCCTGTACAACCGATAGCCGCATGACAGATGTCTCTATCTTTTGCACAGCTTGCTCGAGCTGACAGTGAAGTCACGATATCTAGCGATTCTTTGAATGTTTATTCAAACGAGAATATCACATTCCCCGAAAAATGTTGTTCTCTCAAGCGCAAAAGACAATCAGAAACGATACTATCAGGACACGTACTAGAGAAAATGTGATCTGCCGTACATACTGTCAAAAAAGGCTTAATGCACATGCTACTTAGCAAAAGTTCATTCGAAAAAAAGCAAAACTTGTAATCTAAAAACTTAGGATAATTCCTAATGGAGAAATTTCAATGAGCTCTAAACACGCATGAATGTCTTTAAATCATTGCAAGCTACTGAAAGAAACAAAGAAATTACATATTTATCAATTTTACAATGAAGTAAATCAATACCGATGATGGTCACTAAGCACCACTTACGGTTACAAAACTGGGGAGAAGAACACGCCACAAATGGTCGAACAAGGGGCAAAGTTCATGTTCAACCCGTGATGTCACAAATTCGTTTTGGCGTGACGATTATAAGAATTTTCCGGACTGTTTATACAACGACCACATTCATAGCTAATGTGGCCACACACCGATGGAAGAAGGACAAGCAGGTACAACAAAGGTTTACGAAAAAAAATTCGGCGAGCATTCACCACCGGTCAAGTGAAGGAATACAAATTATCCTTCTTGACCAAAATCGTTCTTGAAAGCCTCCAGTTTTGTCAGGTCTGCAGAATTTACAGTAGGTTTTACTGTCGCCAACGATCTCAGCATATCTTGCTGAAAAAATATAATTTTAGTAATGATGAGACTCTGAACTATGTTATAAAAACAACCACTAATATAGAGAAAAAGAAAACTGCACAAAGTGATGCTTGAGCCACAGCATTAGTAGAATGGCAACTATCACGGTATTTTACTTACCATGGTAAGGATAGGCTCTGCAAGCTTATCACCGGGTACATCCAGCCAACTCATAGGCATTGCTCCACGATCACCAGGGCTGCACGGCGTCAACAGATCGTGGACCATAACCGAGGGGTCCGTTCGAGACGGACCGCTTACATATCTGAATATTGGGAGTTAGAAAATGGTACTTATTTCGTTTGTAATCATAGAAACAGATATCGTCAAATTTTAGGCTGCCCTCAAGATAGGAAGTATAATCATGACAGCTAATATTCCGTCTGTACCTATGATTACATTCAAAGGAATAGGAAGATAAACACTGCGTTCAAACTGGAAAAATCAAGAAACCATGCGAGAAAAAATGTCAACAACGAACAATGTACCTTAAAATATAACGATCTTGTAGAAAAGAATCTTTATTCAGCCGCTTTGATTTATGGTTTGTTAATGAACTTACTTGAAATGTGTGGCCGCCTGCACACGACGAACTGGTTGCATCAAAGCATCTTTAACCAGGATATTGATATCATATCCGGAATAACCTTCGGTTCGTTCGGCAAGGATCTGAAAAGAAGCGCTAATGTCTAAACTTCGATCGAATCCCAGAGACTGTTTCAACAAGGGAAAGAAAAACGAGAACCAATAAAGTACGCCACCTTATAGTCGTTGTCAGTTAAGTTGTTATTATTACGTCCAACATCCAAACGGAACATATCTTTACGAGCATTCATCTCAGGTAGTGGAATGTAGATTCTTTTCTCAAAACGTCTGAAAGGTAGATTCTTCACACATTTACGCCGTTCTTTCACATTGTAAATTTAGTAAATGTCTCACCTTCTTATGGCAGCATCTAGGATCCAAGGAATGTTTGTGGCACCAAGTACAAGTATACCATCGTTATCCAATCCAACACCTTGCATTTGTACCATGAACTCGGTCTTGACACGACGAGCACTCTCGCTTTCATTATCTGACCGAGATGAGCAAAGGGAATCAATCTAGATAGTGGGATATTACTGGGTAAATTTTGAAGAATAAAACTAGGGGCTTTCTAAATGCAAACCTCATCAATGAATATGATGGACGGTTTGTGTTCTCGAGCAAGAGCGAATAGGTTTTTAACCAATCTAGAACACAACTAATTAGAAGTTGAAGCATAACCATCACAAAAACAACTTGCAATGCATGTGAAATGAAGATTGAATTCAAATGAGAAGAATCATCGAAAAAATTAGAAATAAGCGTACTTTTCTGATTCACCGAGCCATTTTGACATGAGATCAGATGACGATACCGAGAAGAATGTCGAATTGTCGGCCTCAGTTGCAACTGCTTTTGCTATGTAGGATTTACCCGTACCAGGTGGACCAAACAACAATATTCCTCGCCATGGTTTTCGATTTCCTGCAAAAACACTTATGTTTTCTTCTTCAAAAAATCACCTTTATTTAACAAGAAAGGTACACAGCTTGCAAAGCAAAATAAGCGAGGTTATTTTGACCCTCTTTTCTTTAAACTTGTTATTTGTTTCATTGTTCTCAAGGGTGTCTTCCAAGCGACGTCATTCACCTATCACATTTCAAATGCCATTGTGTCATTATGGAATAACTGCGTAAATAAGTGGGAAGGGTTTTCATAATAAGTACCTTTATGACGAGGTAAACATGCGAGTAAAAGGGTTGTAAAAAATACGTGATGCAATAAACATTTATTATTCATTTGAGTACTGAAGCCTAGCATCAGAATGGAGAATATACATCACGGTAGTAAAGTGGTGTGCAGATTTCTCAACTTAATAAAAAAACGAAAAATTGCTCATTTCTTAGCGTTGCATGATCTAACCATCAAGTAAGCTGTACACAATTGAACAGCTAAAAAATAATTGTTGGTATAGGCAAAAATAGCCAACTACCCGTTCCTGTGGTCTATAATTCAAGTGGCACGCGATGTGTTCAACAAAAAGGACCATCAATTTTAAATTGCCTTCGCACCTCTCCGCCTAAATGCCAAGAACAGCTTTAGCATTGCAGAAAAAACCGAAAAATAACGTTCTAGTTTAGGAAATATGTTGTGCTAAGTCACTCATATAATCATCGTATTCACGACTGATAAAAATGTAGTGATTGTTGACAAAATATGACCTACTTGAATAACTTTTGTCGCATTTGAGCATGAAAACAACCATCATCTTGATTACACCTAAGATAATAGCCATGTGTCAAACTTCCCGAGCACACACTCCAAACGCCAGCTCTTGTGATTCATTTTTTGTCAAAAAATCACTATCAAACTCCAGTCTATACCGTAATTCTGCAGAGCAGACCAATCAGCGGCCTCGGGTACCGCAGCAAAAACGGTTTGAACTTGAGTTTACTATCAAATTTCTTACTACCAATTGACTATGAACTCCAGCTTGGGCAGTGGCTTAGCTACAGCCTCCCTACGATTTTTTCACATAAAAAGTACAGTTTCCCCATTTTGCCTTCACTTTACATCAATCCCGAGTATTATGAGCCAAAAACCACAAACAATTTTTAGCATTCAAATGACCTAAAAATAGCATTCACCTATTTGTCCATTTATAGCCATACATTTTACAATAAGCTGCACAACAATCGAAAAGTGCAGGCCTATTATAGCTCACAAAATGCTTAGAAGCGGAAGTAAATAGGAATGTTATGTTAGAGCCCTAGCATTTGCAAGAGATCGCTATGGTACTGAATAACTGTCTGTTACATGCTATTCAAATACACACCCTCACTGGATTTTGCAAGAACTGCTAGTGCAAGATTTTTTCTAGAGAAAAGAAAAAGCCTCTTAGAATGTGCCAGAAAAACTGGGTAAACACAAAAACAGAGATTAGTGTTCCTCACATTTCCAAGAAAAGTTCCACATTTTCTTACAAATCAGTGCAAATGGTTATCACTGTCGCAGTAGCATTTGTTATTTAAGTTATAAATGACACATGATGTAAGCTCAACAACTTTTGACATTTTTTACAACAGCTGCTGGGTTTCATCTAACAAATCGACGTATTCATTCGTTGTCATGACGTTTTCTTTGCACTACGAGTTCAGGAGCACTCCTACTCATAAATCAAGGCTTTCCACCCCATTAGGTTTGGAAGACAGTTAGAATATAGAGGCTGGAAAATCTCATTTAGAATATAGAGGCTGGAAAATCTCATAAGTTATGGGCATCTGTAGAAAGCAGGATATCCCAGAATAAACTTGCTGCACAATGAACGTCCAGAAACCCTTCGATAAGCTCTTCAAGTGAAGTGAAAGGATTGCACTTTGGCATAAACAGACTATCTTACTTGTGAGCTTCTTAGTTCAACCTTCATCATCACAGGTCTTTCCTTTTTTAGAAGCACCGCCCAACCAGCGTTGAGGTGAAATATTCACGCGCAACAGTAGCTATGGCCTCTAATAACTGCCCAGGTCCCGCTGCTAAAGGTGCAGGCCAAGGCGAAAATATCGCTCCAGTAGGTGTAAGCTGCTGAGGTCGCCACACCCACTGATGTGAATGGCTCGAAGGTAATGAGCTCTAACTAGCTCAATGGTACTTACAAGGGAAGGATCCTCGGTCAAAGTGGGATTCCCACACGTGATGCATTTCATCGTAGTGGTCTTGAAGCACTAATACCAAATCCGCATTCCTTAGCTGCTCAGTGATCTTTTGGAAAAAATTACGAGTGATGGTTTCCGCAGGATGACCACGGATCGCTTAATTTAGCGGCGCCGAAAAATGTCAGCTGTGGAGGATAGAGGCCGAGTGGATGGCTGCGGAGTCTATAGAGTAAGTGGTAAAACGTTCGAAATACTTGTTTCAAACATTCTTCCATTTTTGCAAATTATTCAACGGGTGTGGGGTGTTGCTCTCCCTAAGGGCAGAACTTTCAAATATCATATCAAACAATATCTATATGGATACATATCAAACAATACAATCTGCAAAATAAAAGAATGTTTGGGACATAACTATTCCGAACTTCTTACCACTTCCTCCATGGTCTCCACAGTTATCCACTCAGCCATCCCTCCACAACGGACATTTCTCGGCGCCGCTAACCTAAGCAATCCGTGATCATCCTGGGAAACCATCACTCGTAAGTTTTCCCAGAAGATCACTGAGCAGCTAAGGAACACGGATTTCGTATTAGTGCCCCAAGCACATGATATGGATTACGTGTGGGAACCCCACTTCGACCGAGGGTCCTTTCCTTGTTCTAGCGTACTGTTAGCCATTACTGAGCTAATTTCGGGTTATCCTTGGGCCACCCACGCTGATGGGCCTGGCGACTGCATCCACCTTCTTGCGTGAATTTCTCGCGAGACTCAGACATCCCCTTGGTCAGGGAACTCAGTATTGGGAGCATCAAAAGATCACCAACTTCAGAATTAGGTGGGGGGGAGGGGGCTCTTAGGACAGAAGAGAAATGAGAAAGTATCTTCATACGCCTCAGCTTAGGACTTTTGAACAAAAATGCAGTGCACCTAAACGCTAGTCCTTCCTGTTTCCGTGCGTTCATTGTGCTATAACTCTATAGCGGGGTGCCTTTACTCTCTAAGGCTTCAAAAAACATATTGCCCATTACACCACATTTCAACTAGCTCGACATGGGCTAGGTTTTTCGACTTGTGTCATAAAAAAACCACTTGGCAACTTTCAGGCTCATGCACTCCCACATCGAAATGCTTCTCCGCGTGGATCGAAAAGCGCACGGGGCACAGAGCACAGCTGCTTCAGTAGCGGCGAATCGATCGCTACACGGGGGTACACGGGGCTCTGGGCTTGTGGCGAGCTTCGTTCTCATCGTCGTGGGCGGGTCTCGTAAGGACCAAGCTGGCGACGACGGTGAGACACACCCCGGTGAAGAGAACGAACGAACTGAAGCCCCTCGGCGGTCTACATAGCGTCACCGGTGACGTTCGCACCTCATTCGCAACGCAGTCATGTTGCGTTCTATGTGGAACTCGTCCGAAATCGACGAAGCTTACGCGAATATGACACATGTATCCACACCATCTCCGCCACTCGCTATTGTATTCGCCTGTTTCACGCTTATTGGCACTGTCGGCAATCTCACACTATTTCTCTATATTCTTATTCATAAGCTCTATCAAAATTTCATTTCTTCACACTTTATCGCACACCTTTGTATCACAAATCTCGTCGCTTTACTAGTGCTACTGCCATTGTTTATTTACACCATATGGACCGGTGTAAATGTTTTCAAAGCCAGCAACTTCATGTGCCGACTCCAAGTGAGATTTTTGCATTATTTCACATTCTTAAAAACATATTATGCATGTTATACACCTTGCCATAACTTAATCAGGATAGGGCAGAACGCAGTAACGAGAGTTCTTTGAAGAAAATTAATTTTGAGCGCTCTAAAGGCCGCCTTGTGGCAGTTAATTAATGAAATCGATAGCTCATGTGAAACTGAGAACTTGAAAATCCTCTCTTCAACCCCTCATATTTCGAAAAAAATGTTATGAGAAAATCATCAAAGTGCAATTGAAAAGCTTCGAAAGACTTTAAAAGGAAGTTCAAGCTTTGCACTTACAAAAAAGGTGAGGGTGGAGGAGGAGGAGGGGGGGGGGGGTAAACAAATACAAATGCTCTCATGGATGGTGGAAAAGTAAGAAAATCCCTGGATCGATCTCAAATTTCAGAAAATTGCTTATTCATGCAAAAACTCATATTGCGCCAACCCGTTATTTGGAGAGCGAAAATAAGAGACCAAAGCTTGGATACAAAAAGAAAAATTGAGACCAGAACAGAAGGAGAAATGCTTTAAAAAAATGGAGTTGTGAGGAGAACGAAGGAGTCAAATTCAGTTGGAATTTTTTTTTTTGAACAAAGTAACAGCTCGAAGCTTTTTTTTACAGATAAATCAACAAGACAACTAACAAAAGCTTAATATAGATCATTTTTTTAGACTCCAAAAATAATCAAAGAAAAATTCCAGGCACTTCTCACCTGCACAGTATGGACAGTGATGGCCCTAATGGCTCTATGTATCGCCGGAGTTCATCTTCTCACATTTGCCCGAATTCACTACGATCAACTATTCGGCCTACGACCTGGTATTCTCTGTATGCTTTCATGGCTGATCTCACTGGTTCTTGCGTTGCCTTCCGCTACTAATGGCCATATCGTCATTTATGATGCCTCATTGAGGCATTGTGTATGGGGACATTCAGATTCCGGACTCAAGTTCCTTACATATCTACTTATTCTGGGTGTTCTGATACCAGCTGTATTCTCATCTTACGCATACATACGCGTTCTTGGCATTCTCTATCACAGTCCTATAGTGTTCCAATCACTGGGATTGTACAAGAGTCGATTTCTTGTCTACGCATTTTTATTCAGGTAAGCATTCAGCTTTAAAAGCTATGAAACTAAAAACTTAGAGCGTTTTCGTTTCCTCAAAAGTCCCTCAAGGTATATCTCTTAAATAAAAAAGAGCTTATGAAAAACTATTGTATAATAGTGCAAAAGCGTTACTCTGGAATTTTTACAGTCTATGTCAATCACGAATTCCCTTTTCCACCCGCGCAGCCACGTTGCGCACGACATTCAAAGTCGCCTTATCGACTGAGAGTCCGCACGCATGATCTTCGCGTTGCGGTTGTGTAGTTGTACTTCCTGCACAAAAGCAGCATGTAGAGAGATGCATAATATCTGCTGCATGACGAAGGCGGTTGCCCAAATAGGTTGAAGGCTGTCGCGCACGCGGCGCCCGGTGGTCGACAGTTGCCCGCGCGCCGCGTGCGCGACAGCCTTCAACCTATTTGGGCAACCGCCTTCGTCATGCAGCAGATATTAGATTGTAGAATTTTCCGTCGCATATACTGCTAACCATATTAGTCGCAAGAAATATACTTTAGAGAAGGAAAAATATTTGCAGAAAAACATAGTATTAGCAGGATAGAAGCACTTTCTTTGAAATTTGTGGTGGTAGTCCAAACTGCAAAACAAAATTTTTTCATTTGAAGAAAAAACAGGTACGTATCTGCAGAAAAAAATCCCCACGCGTAACCATAAGATAATGCTGGTTAAAAACACCACATATCAAGTCTATATCTACCTTAATGAATCGTTTGAGAAACTTCCTACTTTCACTCCCCCCCCCCCCCCCAAAAAAAAAACCCCCTCCCTCCTCGAGGAAAGCAAACTCATGAAAGCTACAGCAGCTCAAAGCAAGCAAATCGACAATGTTTGCAGCAGCTAGTGCGTTACTAAATATAGATACACTATCTTTTTATAGATTTGCACTTTATTCATTGCCATACAAACACATGCATTTTCAGTCCGTTGTACCAGATGCCCTTCTATGCGCTTACGATGATGCACGCCAATCATTCGTGGCGAATCCATTCGGATTCATTTTGGCCGGCTATTTGTATGTTCATCGCTTTCACACAATGTCTCGTCTCACCGGCTCTCTATGGAGCGAGTTTGTTTATGATGAAAGAGGAAGACATGGCGTTAACAGCACGAACACACAAAGGTGCCACTGGATATCAACATGTACCGTCGCAAAATAATCCAGTACAAGCACAGCTCATCTGAATTTTCTCTATTTGTATTGCATTTTTTGTCTTTTCCCGGTGCCAAATAATAACTAGTTTCTCGATGACTTCTGTTCTGTTGTCAAACATATGTATCCTCACAGCTGAGCTCTGTCTCTGAAGCTTAATCCTATAATTAGCAAGCCAAGTCAAATTAGGACAAAAACAAAGATGCGGTAGTCCTCATCACAGCAGTCACTTTGTGTGATTGCACCAAATTTAAAAAACCGCAGTAAGTGGAGGTAGGCGTGGAAATAGAGCCACTTACCATATTACAGAAATACTGTAACGAAAACAGTGACATGAAAGAAAAGAGGAAAAGGCATCGTAATTGGCTTCACACAAAAAAAAATTAAAATTATTCAAAGATAGCGCAATCGTAACTGACTAATATGGCGAAGATTAGAGTTAATCGATTGAAGATGGGAGATGTCAGAGGGTTCAAAAAAGAAAACCTTGAGAATTCTAATGACTTGAAAATTGGTAAGAATTCTATGTTCTTAATTCAGTTATTACAAGAGTTTACTTTCCCTACAAAGAGCTCTTCGCGAACAGGCAAAAGTCATCTAGATCAGAATGGAAAGAGAAATGTGAAGGAAGATTGATGGATATGAAAAAAATAGACAAAATTATGCCAGATAGAGAGGAACTTATCTAGAAGTGAGTAATTCAGAAAATAATATCAAATTAGTCGCATTTGTAGGCCATTTCCCAGTCAAAGCTCTCCACAAAATTACTGATATAAGCACTTTTCAACTGAATGTCATCTGGATATGGCCCTATTTGAAATCATTTACTGGATCTTCTCAGGATCATTCCATATTAGAATTTTTGCGTGTCTCATTGGAACACGAAAAATTCCACCTTCCCGATGATAATGCAGTGATGATCAAATTTCAAAACATTTTGTAAGTCCATTCAATCATAAAAAGTATGCACTGAGTTACTCGAGTGCAGTAGGACAAAAAAATAGGGCTGCCATTGGATAATCAATAAAGTGTTGCATTGTAAACAGTGATAGTTTACGCGCTCCACGGACAACAGTATCATATGAATCAGAGAATGGGCGACTCATGCTTCCGCGAAATGCCTTGTGCTCAGCTTCCATTTGTCAGCAACCTTAACTTCCAGCTTACACACAAGGCTTCCCACAACCTTGAAAAATATCTATTCTGTACTTGAAACAGTGGCGAAAGCAATATAATGTGTCAAAAGAATTTTGCGGTCGATAAAGCAGGTGTTATGGATGGACAATTGTGTCAGGTGACGTGACATTAGTTGGTGTTCCGGTTTCGTACATACGTGACTCGTCAGAGTTTGTTCAAGCAGCCACCACAAAGCCTATTCTAATTTTAGCTATCGATTTTGAAAGGGGCTTCCGTTTCGCTATTCAAAAGTCAATACTCATACACAAAAAACTCGGCAACGACAATGACGGCTTGTAAAGGGCACAGAAATGCCACACAAAAATAGCGTGAAATGAGGTCAAAAATAGAAAGTCATCATGAGATGTCAATCTTCACCAATAGTGTTTGGATATCTATCAAGAGATGTCGGCAGCAGAGCGGCAATTAAGCGGTAAATGAAAATTATGACTGGAATATATGTTAGAGTTTTATCGAAATTTGAACGTGAGTGTGAATTTTACTAGTATCAACTTGAAGATCCGTTAAGTTCAAACAGAAATGACATAGTTACTAAAAGGTACTTTGTGGACTACTACAGTCATTCCCTGAGCTACAGATTGCGATTGCACACCGTAGGTATAGGCTACTGCAGGACGAAGGCGCAGAAGCAGTATTAGTTGAGCGTTCGCGAATGCGGCGCGCATGAATCTTCACCGTTGTAGATTCTGCGTTTCATCCGCTTCTCGACTAATAAAGCCGCCTCTGCGCTCAAAGTTACTGCGCCTTCGTCATGCAACAGCCTTTACACGATGCGTAAAGTGCTGGTGTTGAGAAGATTCAGATATGTCTAAAACACACTCAAAGGTGTTTGGATATCTAACGAGGAGAATGAAGTGCAATTCCTTTGGATCTTATTTTTTACGCGCAATGTGCATGCTGTACGCAATAGCACTTAGTCATGGACTGATGCAGTGAGGACAACGGAAAGAGGCTTTTCATACTACTCCTGTACTGTTTCTGTAAAGGCCTGTATAAGCAGCCCTCCAATAAAACTCGTAAAAAAAAGACGTAGAGAGGAGTCACAAAGAGGAAACGCTTAGCATGGTTGTACAAAAAGTCTCATCGATACTTCTGTGTCATCTTTTCGATTTTCCGCTTAACACAGCGTGCTTGCGGTGCCGACATTTGCGGTAAAGTCTGCGCGCGAACATCGGTAACGAGCTAATGCCGGCCACTAGCGCGCGCAAGGTTCTGGCATTGTAGGCGTGGCTATTTGTTAACGCGCAAATTCGACCGCAAAGTTGCGGCACGGCAAGCACATTACGTTGAGCGGAAAAAGTGCTAAACTGTAAGCTATCACAGCCGCAGACTGTTCGCAGTAATGCTTTCAAAGGAGAAAGGTTGGTCGATAGGGCGAGGTCTGTCTATGAACAGTCGGAAAGTGGAGGTAACTTAGAGAGATGGGACTCTGGAAAGTCAAGGGTTCGCTGAGACTGTAAACTTCTACACAGTTTATTGATGACCCAAGACGAAATATGACCCAAGGCACCTCGACATTATGTACACAAAATAGCAAAGTCTTAGATGTTGAATAATCATGGAGGGGAACTCTACACTTGTGATGTTCGGACATAGCAGCACTAAATGTATATCTTCGAAGGAATGAACGCATGACTGGAGCTAGATTCCAGACGCAAATGCTCACTAATAGTTAGACAGATAATCATACCTCGCTCTGACATACCATAGTTTCAAGTTTTTTTTTTGATGATTGCATCAGATTAATAATCAAAACCACTCCAGGCTCTGATGCGGCTCTGGCATAGCCATTAGTGTTAGTACAAAAGCAAGGATAGCTAGTACAGTCAAATAAGCGTACAACACAGTTTTCAAATCTAGTCGCGTACCAGTGAAAAGCTGTGGGAATTTGATGGGTAAAATGACTGCCTCCTTCAATGCTTCTTTTGCCGTTTCCAATCCTGCTATATCGCTCCATTTGATATTCGGCTTTTCCATTACGATAGCACCGGACAGTTTGTCCTAGAACTAATACCATCGAAAAAGAAAATAAAGATCAATAACAAAGAGAAGTGTTGTTGCGGTAACTAGTCACGTTTCGATAAAATGCACCTGAAGTTTCTTCTTGTCTGTGTCCTCATCCGAGTCGCTATCCTTTGAATCCTTTCCGCCCTCCTAAAACAAAAAAAGTAAATCTCTGGAACGAACTTGCTTTTGCGCACTGCGAAACACTGCAACATCCTCAGAATTAGAAAACTCACAAAACAACTGGGCTTCACAAGCACTTTCACTGGTCTAAGGCCTATTCTCAAATCATTTTTTCTTCTATTCTGAACGACGGAAGCATGAGGCGCCAGTCTTTTATGAACTTGTCTCGATAATCATTTCCAATAAAGATTGTGTGATAAATAAACAAAAGAAAGCTAGTTTTTGAGCCATTGCAGAGCAAGAAGTGGTTTGAGATTTCCTGGTTATTGGCAGTTTAGCTAGCTAGAAACATAATATGTAATGCAAAAATGATGGTGCAAGAGTATAGAAATGACTTTGAGACAAAATGCTGATATGATTGTCAAGTCAATAGCTTCAAAAAAAAAATTGACATGAAAATGGGACAACAAAATTTTTTTTTCAATGTTCGCACTTATCTAAACTTCCGAAAAGTAGCTCCTGATGTAATGAGTCAATCAATGAGGTTTAGACCAATAAGTGAATGTCGAGAAAGATGGTAGTACTAAACACCTTCATTGGCTTCTTGCCTTTGCCTTCCTTCAAGAACTTCTTTATTTGCTCGTATCGATTCAGGTATGTAGTACATTTCGTTCGGATAGTCTCTTTCTGCTTATCTCCCTGTGCCTCATCTGTAAGAAATGCGTTACAATGATGGATTGAATGACCTTTCAAACTTGAGAGGCACGATAGAAGACAAGCTCATTACATGTCAAACTCAGAGTAAAGGTAGACCGGTAATGAAAGCCGTAGATTTGCCTGTGTGAAAAAAAAAACATGAAACCGCGCTGTACGCGCAGCGCTGACCTGCCAAAGCCGGGGTGATCAACTAACAAGTAGAGTATATTTTTATTCCATATAGCCAATAGTGCAAAGACAGAGATGTCAGTCAAGCTCAGATTTGTTTACCATATCTGCTGTACGGTCCTGTACGGTAACATGTTTTTAAAACTTGCACAGATGATTTGACGCAAATCTGCCACAAATCAAAATAGAAAATCCTTCAGCTTCTTAGCCTTACGGTTTCTCCAGGGTTCCTATGCCCATGTTTCTCCGGGATACCTACACCCAACCTCGTTTTGCCATTAAAATATTCTCAAACCATTAGCCTTTGTATGGAAAAGGTGAAGATAGCTTTGATATCAATTACATACGACACAAATGACTCAGACGGGTTAGTACTGTAAAGAGCAATAATTATGAACAGTAGGGCTAGATAAGAGCTTTGACACACTGTAGCGGAAGAAGAACTACCGACCCATTATACTAGCGAATAGATGGCTGTCACCATTGATAGATGTGCGTATAAAAGCTCCCCGTAAATGGAAGTCTGCACTTCATACAGATTATCAACAAATTTTGTTGGCAAAAATCCAAAATCAATACACAAAAAACAAGCTCTACACAAAAATCGTCTCTTATGAAACACTGGAGCATTTGGACGCTTTAGGAAGCCGAAAATGATGCGAAGTAATATGGAAAGGCAAAGTAATCTTGTTTGAGGTTACGACTGCCGACGCGTGGGAAACGGAAAAGCGAAGGCAGTAGAGGACAAGGCCAGTCAAAGTTCACACAAATTTTGCGCAAGCTCCAGCTATAAAGGCAGTTGAATATTAGAAATACTCCAGTTATGACCAATTCAAAAATATATGATGAGTTCAAAAGTAGCCAAGCATAAGAACTCACACTTTATAGCATGAATGAAGTAAGATATGGCCTGGTCGTAGTATGTGAGGGCAGTTTCGTACTTGCCAGCTTTATCCTCCTCTGTGGCAGTTGTTACCAGTTCGATAGCTTTCTGAAGAATGCTTGGCACATGGACATAGGTACAATTGTGTCAAAGGTAAAGTATAAGAGAATATAAAAAACACAAACTGAGCAAAGCTGAGCCCAAATATGATGAAACAACCAACCTGTAACGAGGATGTCGCCATGTTTCGAAAAATCTGTCGCCCCTAGAATCCTCAATGCGAACAGGAGCCTGAAAACAAAATGCATGGGTAGGAATAGTTATGTGGGTAGACCGAAGAAGTAAACCGAGAACCTTCAAAGATATACCGACGGGTAATGAGCGAATTTCGCGTATGTAGTGAAACGGTGACTCATGCAAATGAGTCATGCCTTGCTATCCTACTTTGCCTCAGGCGGCATTCATTAGTGCTAGCTACAAGTGAAGTGCCTACCAACCCCCTCAGACATAAATGACAATTAGAACCGAAGTGCAAAATCTTGAGCAAGCCCTATCAATAAAAGCCTGACTGGTTTTTAGATTTTGAAGGGCAGAATTACAAAAGCGGCATGGGGTCCCAGAAGGACGAAAGCGTGGCGAAGCGGTCGCGCGGCGTTCGTCAGTGACGGCGGCGCCGGCGTGCGCGCAGTCTCTCTGGCCTGGTAGGATGCGGCTGATGGGCTGCGTTTCTGGCGCTGGCGCGGACGCGGAAGGCCGCGAGGCGCGGAAAGTCAACAAGCAGATCGAGGAGCAGCTCGCCAAGGACAAACAGGTCAGCGAAAATTCCGATTTTCCCGGCTTTCCGGCGTGTTGTCTTATTTATTAGTTATTGATCTGTGTGTGCTATAAATAGACGAGGAGTGTATTTTGGGCTGCCTCTGCAGGTCATGCGCGCCACGCACAGGCTTCTCCTCTTGGGCGCTGGTGAGAGCGGTAAGAGCACAATCGTGAAACAGATGCGAATATTGCACATAAACGGTTTCAATGAGGCCGAGAAAATGGAGAAGATCAAAGATATCCGACGAAACATACGTGACGCTATGCAGGTTCGTGAGTGCTTCGATTCCTGCAGCAAGCTGCCACTGCTGGCCGTTTGCTGCGTAGCAATTAGCGCTTGTATTTGATTTTATCGTTATCTTTTCCGGCAGCGCATTCTCGGCGCTATTTTTAGCCATTCCAAATAGCCATCGCGTATAGCGTTCAGATATCGTTTTTGTTGAGAGGAGTGTGTTGGTCGCCTTCAATCGGCGATTTGAGGCGTCCTGCACCCTGTTCTATATTTAGCTCTCGGAAACGTGTTTCTTGAATGACTCAGCGCAGTTGTTGTTTCATGGGAACGTTTATGTGTTAGAAACATCTTTGTGAAATCCTAGCAACTAGTTCTCTTCTGAAAGGTGTTTGACAAGACCATGGTCGATGAGTGTTATTGAGACTGTAGAATACAGCGCGGCATGTATGGTGTGATTGAAGGTAATTCTGCGCGCGATGGGCACGATCGATCCGAGGGTGTTCTTGGACGATCCGAGCACTCAGGCGAGCATGGACTACGTGCTGAACTGTGTCAACGAAGTCGACGGCGAGTTCTCGCAGGTGGGCTTACGCGGTAAACTCACTTAATCGGTCATTGGCGGTCTTCCAAACTAGTCTGACGTTCCTTCCAAGACCAGAATGTTTAGCCGACCATCTTTTGGTGGTGAAAGACTTGAATATCAAAGTATTTGTGGAGTTATGAAATCAGTTATTTCTGAGCTGCTATCATTGTAATCGTGTTTTTTTCAAGGTCACTGTTTGGGGTTTTTAACGATACCTTCACCCACAGAAGGAAAAAAGTGCATTTTTTATGTGATTTTATGCAGTACCACTGTTGCTTATAACTACAGGAGTTCTACGACCATGTCGCTAAATGCTGGGCTGACAAAGGCGTGCAGGCGTGTTATGAACGAAGCAGTGAATATCAGCTCATTGACTGTGCAAAATAGTAAGTTCTATTTTGGTCGACATTAACATCCCAGGGTTTCTGTAGGCTACTTCAGTGCAATTTTTTTGAGCGTTGGTGGTAGTATCTGATATCTTTGTTGACATACCTGGTTAATGTTTGTTACATTTTAGCAGAAATTTGAAAAACTGTATGATGTTAGGATACAGAATGAGTTCTTCTTTTACAGCTTTCTCGACAAAGTTGATATAGTGCGTCAGCCTAACTACGAACCCACTGAACAGGTAAGACTCGCTTTTTCAAATTTGTACACATTGCTTTTTATAATACTCTCTTTATCGCTTTTGTTGAGTCATTCGCCTCTTTGTCATGTTCACTTTATTGCTCCTATTTTTAGCTCCCATTCTACTTCCTCAATTTTGATTGCTGAGCAATTGTTTATCAACTTCTCTCAAAAAGTGGTTGCTTGGCCACATTAATTTTAAGCAGATAAATCACTTGTATTTCTTTTTGGGGTTTCCTTATTGATCACTTGGATGTCTAAACTTTGCATGTGTGAAATGAGTTTTAATCTTGCATGTTCTTTCGTTGGATTAGATATAATTTGTGTCCCAATCTCTTGCCTATGCGATTTTCCTAAAAGCTTCCAATTTTCTTGTTTTCGCATCTATACCAACAAGGCAGTCCTTTTAGGCAGAGAGGAGTATCGAAGCTTTTCGAAACTGATCAGCTTTTTCTGGTTAATGTAACTTGTGCATTTGATCGGAAAAACCTCAAGTGTTTGTCTTTCATAAGTTGACGATCGCCTCCGCCAATGGTTTTCTGCTTATCGCATTTGCGTTTTATTGCATTACATGCAGTTTATTGCATCATTTACATACATTTTGTGTGAATCATCGTTCGGATCTGTTGAAATATAATCAAAATAGCATCTGATCTATTATCGCATCCGGCCGCATGTCATATATTTTTCCTCACGACTATCTTCGACCCACGACGCATGTGTTTTTTTTTGTAAGGTTTTCATATGATAGGTTCGATAGGTTAGTTTGACTTGTGGAGAAGAACTCTTCAATTAACGTTTCAAATAGAGAAATTCATTCATGATAGCGATAAAGAACTACGTACGCATTGCTTATTATTTTCATTCATCGCCTAGCTTTCAGGACATCCTTCGGTGTCGTGTGATGACAACAGGAATATTCGAAACTAAATTTGAAGTGGATAAGGTTCGATTCCAGTGAGTTTAGATGCTTTTTTCTCTTCATGAGTACCTGCTTTTTTCATCTTTTATCTGCAGTTATTTTTCTCCTTCTTTTTTCAAAAGTTGAGTTTCTCAGCATGTTTGATGTCGGTGGACAGCGAGACGAAAGGCGAAAATGGATCCAATGTTTCAATGATGTGACAGCTATTATCTTTGTTTGCGCATCATCCTCTTACAACTTGATGCTTTGGGAAGATAGCACACAAAATCGGTCAGTTTGCACAAAACAAATAGGATATTGTTTTTTATATGTTTGTCAAAAGATGTAAAGTGTGAAAGGCATTACAATAGCTCAAATTACACATCACATTTTGGAACGTACGTCAGTTTAGCATTTTTCATCTCGAGTAGAATGCAAGTCGGGGGCGAAGTTACTAGAAAAAGCTAGCTGTATTTTACACTGTTTGAAATGGACTCGCCATTCTTGTCAACATACTCATTGAAACTTTGTTGCTTCTGAGTCATCGCTATGCTTTCAGACTGCGAGAGTCACTAGCGCTCTTCAAGAATATATGGAATAACCGTTGGTTGAAGACGATATCCGTTATATTGTTTTTGAATAAACAGGTAAGTCGTATCAGTGTTTGTAAAGCCTCGCGCGTTTATCTTTACTTTAGGATCTTTTATCTGAGAAGATCAAAGCAAAACGTTACTTGCTTGAATCGTATTTTCCTGAATTCGCAAACTATCAATTACCGTCGGATGCCGTCTTTGAAGCGGGCGATGACAAGGATGTAGTACGCGCTAAATATTTTATCCGAGGAGAGTTTTTGGTGAGTGCTTTACCATATTTATCTCTTTTTTTGAGCAACCTCATGATTATGCTCAGAACAAACCAGGACTCTACAAATATAGATGATTTTATGTTCTGTTTTCTGCAAAAGTTCACATAGCTAACCTCCGCGCATAAACTACTTTCCTTTTGCTCTGCCTTTGCCTGCTTCCAATCAACCTTGGTGCTGTTTAATACGTGTCAGAGGCAAAAAGTGAATTTTCTATCGGGGGTTTTGTCGGAACATTTTTAGGCACATGAATATGGTGCTGGTGGTGGTGCACATCATGTTTATTTCTGAACCAGATTCGTTCAGACGTTTGCTGTGGTCAGCTTTCACAAAAATTGCACTCTAAGACTCGGGAAATATGGTCCTGGGCTGTTTACCATAGCTTACGTGTTGCATTTCGATGCTAAGAGAGAAGTCGTATTTTTTCGCTTCTTTGTACCTAAAGGGTAGTCCCTCTCGTAAAAAGAGAAGTGCGTAGCCAAAGCGCTTTTGTCAGAAGCAATCGAGATCTCATTTGTTTGATTTTCCATTTTTGAACTTGTATCCCGTTTGCATTAGGTTTTGTAGTATTTTCACCAGTGATAGTCTTCATAAGTTTTATCTCGGTGCTCGAACTAGCTTGATTTTTTTGATCGCTTGCAGAGCATGCATCAAACAATTCCTTCTTTTCGTTGAAAACTATGTTAAAATCGACACAGTAGTTATCATTTCAATTCACCTAACAAAACACCGCACCAACTTGCCTGTGGATGAACGCTAGAATTTAACAATTTTCGAGTATTTCAAAGATATATACGGGATAGTAGTAGTTTAACGCATGTATTGATTGAGATCCGATGATTTCGTCATACACATTATTTTCGACTGCCGGCTGAAATAACATGGAGATTATTCGTGTAAGCTGATTCTAAAAATGTTGAATAGAGGCTGAAATTGCAAATCGTCATTTTAATAATAAATTACATAGTTTTATCATATCAGGGTATTTGCGGCGTAGGACATAGAATTGACTGTAAAAAAAAAAGAGTGAAGAATCTACGTTCTGTAAGCTTTCCTTGAGAATGAAGTTCGGAAGAATATCTAGCTACATAGCTTACACAATGAGAGGGCAATGTTTTCGCTGAACTCATTTTTGCCAGTATTTGTAGCTGTGAAATGGGCTTCGTTTTTTGATTTGATATGATTTCAGCGAATTTCTACGGCTGCTGGAGATGGCAGACATCACTGCTATCCACACTTTACATGTGCTGTTGACACGGAAAACATTCGGCGGGTGTTCAACGATTGTCGCGATATCATTCAGCGCATTCATCTTCGGCAGTACGAGCTTTTGTAGTTGTGTGCTCGCTACTGCGTGTCGCCGTCTCTCACGCAATCTGTATGTGTTATGTGCTGAGTTATCCCTTAACGCTGTTGCTCACCTGTTACTTTCTTGCCGTTGGCGCGAGCCGCTTGGCAAACTGCCAAAGCCTCCATATTTCAATTTTCAACCCCGACAAGTATTGACCCTGCTTCAGTGTTGCACTATTCCATTCTAGCCATCGATGACGACCACGTCGAAAATCTAGTCCCTCTAAGTTTTCTATTTGTATTTTTTTCTAGAACTGAAAGCATGTTTGTCAAATGCTTGAAGCGCTTATTAGTACGGCGGCATCTGTTTTTTATTTCTTTGTGACGATATCATGCCTTGATGCATTTTATTAGCGACTTCTTTTGCAATTGCATCATTCTCAGTCATTTTTCCTGCATTTACACACCCGAGCATTTCATTCTGGTCAAAAGACCAATAGCATGGGAACGTGGGTGCGATTGCATTTGATGTCGCCATTTTGTTGATAGATATAGAATTGTGGCGCACCTGTTTTATGGTGCACTTTCTATATGAGCACAGCTCAAGCTAGATGTGGTGTGCATCCGTCATCCTGCCGCCATCTCCCCTTTCGCTCCTACCCTTTTTCATCTTCGCATCCCGCTCCTCTTTTCGTCCGCCAGTCAGATCGCTATGTTATGATAAGGATTTGTGGAACATTTTGAGTAATTCGCAATTGATGGTTGGTGTCGATCTTTCTCCTGCCTGCACTTTGCCCTGTGGTTCAATTATTGCTGTATGGTTAGAATAGCACTGTCAACTTTTCTCCTGGCTGAGGCGTTAGGCGGAAGTGAGTCCATGAAATTCTAATGACTGAAGCACTTATTTAGCATTTTGAGAATTTTTCTTGGTGTGCATGAGCGTCAGGGCCGCGGTGGGAAGTACGGCGGTGCTTTCCTTTTACAATTGATTTCCTTAGCGCAAAGGAAACAGGTCGCTAGCGCTAATTTCGTCCATTATTTTTGTTTCCAACCGTTTATATTTGAATTAGCGGGATGTTATCTTATTAACTTGCCTATGTCATTTTGTTTTTTTTTTATTCATTTCATTATTTTTGTATAATAACACCGTCTGTGCAGTTTCCCCGTTCTTTGCTTTTAGCTGCTTCTAAAATGCATGCTTTAACATGTATATCAAGTCAGTAATTGCTTTACTATTTATTGTTTTAAGAGCGATGCTACTAAGTCATTTTTTCTAGACGTCATCTCAAAACCTTGATTCTTCTAATTCTAGCTCTCAATAAGCCTGAACTACTTTCATGATCTTTAGAAGCACGAATAATCATGAGGGGACATCAGGTGTTTCTTATTATTACACGCAGATTGTTATAGTTTTATATTTTTTTATAATTAGGCCTCCGGTGTCGCACCATGGGCACTGTATACTCACAATTGTCACTGCAACGTGTAAAAATTCTCCGAATAAAAGTCAATATTACTGTTGATCGATCATGTACAGGTATGAACCGGGTGTAATGCATCCTGCACAAGTCACTGAAAGTCGAAAAGCATTGTGACTACCGGGAACATCTCGTTCTTAATGGGCCCTGTCAACCTTCAAGTGTACTTTCCGTCAAGAAATTGTTTGAAGAACGTATTTACAAAGCCCAGAATTTTTTTTTTTTGATGTCATCCACCGAAGCTTTTAGTGGATCCGGTGGAGTTATGTTGATGAACTTGCGAGTAGAGGAACGAACACATCAGCTGAGCATCACCTCCGCGGGCTGCTGGTCCTTCCGTCCTACTGTTGTGCATCGTGTTAAGACCAGTAGTCCGATTAGGCGGTGCCTAATTGAGGTGTTCGTTCCTCTACTCATGGACTTGCTACACGACACACACGATGGTCGCGATAGTCATTTATCCGATATACGATACAGGCAGACGATAGGCGACAGCCAAGTAACAAGGGAGAGATTGACGATGAATGAGAGTGAGAAAAAGAATAAAAGTGACCATCTCCCGAAACGGGAAGCTATGTACAATAGCGTTAACAACCTACAATTAGTATAAATACATTCCTGTATAGAGGAATGAATCGGTTATCGCATGTCGTATCGGTTCTGTCACTCGTACTTTTCCATCCATTAATGGAGTTATAATCTTCGCAAGTTTCCATAAACTGCGTGGGAGTACTAGAATGTTGACCAGTACTACGGATCTTTCCTCTCAAGCTAGTGAGGTATGGTTCCTGCCAGATTTTTCAAAAACGTTTGGTGATTTTGTAGGAGGATTGGAGGGTTTCTTTAACTTGACGTGTCTAGAGCGCTCTTCTCGCTTTGGGTCGTAAGTAATTTAGATCATCCGCTGTTAATGTAAGATCGTTTGATGGAAGCATCACTTTCCGGTCCTTTTGCAAGTTTATCGGACTAATCATTTCTATAGTATCAGTTTAGTTGTTTGGTACGTTATTGTTTTGATTTCGAACAGACTTCTATTAAATGAATAGTATGGTTATAGATTTGTATGATGACTTCCCGTGTTCTTTGTAAAATGCTTGGTTGATAGACTTTATGGGACGCTCATAGAGTCCTTTTTGCCAATAAGCTTATGGAGTAATGCGTTGCTTGTTTTCAGTTGCTGGTTTCTCTAATCAAGCACTATCCAATATCTGTTCACTCAAAAGAAAGGCGTGTGTTGTGTGTGTTATCGCAAGCAAGTGATTCTGGGACACCTCTTTGAATCTTAGTGCTTTGAGAAGGTATTCTGTGCCCACGCTAGTCACCATTTCCAAGTGGATTAACCTTATAGCTTGCAAGTGAAGATGCGCCCATATAATTAGAAGCAGCCGATGGACGAAGTGTTAAGAAGTGCCGCATTGGCTGCTGGAACGAAGACGAGACCTCGACTTCTTTTCCGTATAAGATGTGATTTATCGCGAAAAAATGTTACCCAACTTCGTTCCCTCATCAGCACCTGTGCCGGTGCCCGTTGTTCCCCCTGGAGAAGTACCACTACGAATTCTACCTGCTGAATTGAGCAGACGCGATTCAGACCATTGAAGACGTTCACATTCCAGGACCATCTTTCCGTTGAACTTCTGCGAGCCGGGGGACAACGTCTGCACAAGATTCTCGCGTCGCATCTTACAGTTTACCTTAGCAGCATCTTAGAAGGAAACGATTCCTAACCAGTGGAGAGCTTCATGAATCATCCTTCTCTTCAAGAAGAGCAAACGGGAGAATCTTGGAAACACCGTCCAATATGCCTCCCGAGCGTGTTGTACAAGTTTTCACTAAGATCATCCTCGCTAGATTTAGGACACGGATGAAGCCCAGCCATCGTAGAAGCCTGCCGGAAGTACCAACTCCTCTAGTCCTAAAAGTCGAGTACGAGAAAACCTTTGATAGTGTCGAAACCAATGCCATCCTGTCATCACTAGTTAATTAAGGAGTGAACCCAGCTTACGTGAGGACTTAGCTGACCGCTACAAGGACTGTACGACGATGATGCAGCTACTCCATTGCCCCTTGACCATCCTATTGGGGAGGGGGGGGGTTAGACTAGGTGACAAAAAGTCCAAAACTTTCCTCGCGGCCTTGCAGTGGGTGATGAAGTCACTGGATTGGGACGAGAGAGGTATACGAGTTGATGGGAGATTTCCGTCGAACCTTTGTTATGCGGACGACATCGTTCTCTTTTCGAGCAGTTCAATGATGCAGAGACGATGCCGAAGGAATCAAGTAGGGAAGAAGATTGATTGCGAATTAGTCGGAAGAAGACTCAGTTCATGAGGAACGCCATATACGAATATGAAGAAATGGAATTGGAAGGCACCCCCACTATGGAGACGTCTTCTTACGTGTATCTTGTACGTTTGTTGAAATGGAGAACGACCTGAGGAAAGAACTTGAAAGGAGAAGAAGAGCACTTTGGGCCACCTTCGGGAATTTGAAGGAAGCCACTGTCAAATGGCGGACCTGGAGCTTCGAGCCCACGTGTTCAACTCAACCGTTCTCTCGGCGGCAGAAGTTCATCATTTGGGGAAAGTAAAGTGAATGGTCATCCTGGTCCTTCTTCTGCCTGAACGCGTCCTTTTCATCACCCTTACATTCGACTTGTGGTCTATAGGTGTCGAGTAATCGTAGCACTTGTTTCCCTATCTGTCTACTATCCGTCTTTAGTTTTCCAGTATCTGTCTTTATGCCCCTTGGGCGATCGCTTATGCGCCCATGTCAGCTATCTTGCTCATTAGAGTTTCTAAGACATTCATAGCAACCCATTTTTGCTGCCGCTAGGACCATTGGGACGCCCCGCTCCGCGCTACGTCCCGAATACAGGATACATCGACTTGTCTCTTTTTCGAAAAACTTGCTAATTCCACTCAAAGGTGAAAGTACACGTTGATGGTAGCTAGACGGAGACTCTGCGAAGCCTTAGATTGTTGTCTATGCGAAGTAGCCAGTTGAGCCGTCTTCGTTCATGATGAGACGGTAACCCCTGCCACTATTTGCGATCTTAGGCTCGAGTACGCATCGCTTCCGGGGAACGGCATGTCTTTCTTTGAGTACCTTCTGTCTCATTAGGAGTGTGAGGGCTCGGATTTTGCGCGATAATCTCGTTTGGGCTCTGCATTCTTTCATGGGCGTGCCCTCTGATCATTTTTCCACACTGAGCATTGGAAAGGCTGAGCTTTAACACGTTTCGGACCGCGAAATCGCGCGCGGCGAAAAAGAGTGTTCGTTCAACCGTTAGCTAACAAAGGGACCTTATTTAAAAGACTGTGTGCTACATCTGTAATGACCATGTCGGAAAACCTCCGTACCCAAAGTTCTGAGTGAATTCGAAGTGTTTGAATTTTGTCACCTGAGAAGGAGTTCTGTGCTTTGCTGAAAGATAGGAACAAGAACTCAGTTTCTAATGGTAACCAAAAGTACCCATGTTGTGGACGGTACACATCAGTATTGAAACTACGGTCTTTCTCTTTGATATCGAAGCAAAGGGATGTTGCGACGTCGCACGCGTCATTCGCGTTGCCGCACTTCGTTGCAACTGTTGTTCGATTTGTGCTCATATCTTCTAAACAAAGACGGCACAACTCTACAGAGTTATGCGAAAAGTAGAAGGTTAGGCTTTTGACTTGATAAATTTGGACTAGACTCCTGTAAACGTCAAGAAGATCCTTCAAAGCAGGGTGCTGCACCAAGTGCAGCACCGGTCCGAAACGTGTTACTAACCAATCAAGCGTGGGAAAATGAATAGAGAGCACGCTCGCGAAAGAGGTGCAGAGCCCAGGCGAGACAGCCGCGTGGGACCTAGCCAGATTAGCTCATCACTTAATAAAACAGAAGATGACTGTATGACACATGCTAAACTGATTAATACGACGGGGTGGTTTCTCAGCCGCGTGCAGCAACGTTGGAAGCAGGGTCAAGCGTGTTGATGCGATCCGGGACCCTCATTTACGACCCCCCCCCCTTGAAGGTACCCATCCGTACGACCCCCGCCCCAACCCCCCTCCCCCTCCCCCATTTACCCCTTACCTCCCTTGCCCACATTCCTCGAGGTAGGCTGCACAAACGAATGTCAATCTCAAAAAACACCTGCGTGAGAACTTAAGTGAGGTTTTGGAAGCAGAATTTCTAAGTCAATAGGTGCACCCAGCATGTGTAGCGCACATACACACCTTCAATAGTGTTTGAGACTCTGCAAGTTTTTTTTTTTGAATTTTCATGCATATTTCAGGCCAGCAAATTCCGTTCCCGTAGGCGACAGAAATTTTTGCACGGAGAAGAAAATGGCCTTCTTGAACAACAAAAGATGTTTTCGACTACGTTCACTTCCAACTTGGAAGTGAACTGATCTTGCCGCCGATATTGGAGACGGAAAGAAATCAAACCCGAATTGACGCAATGACTGAAGCGCTAACCATTTGACTAATTTCTAAAATCCCCTATGTAAAGTCGGAATTTGATTTCTGTCTGTCTGTTCATACAACTCTATCGTCGATTCGTCTGCAAAGACTGGACATCACTGCGGAGCACGCGCCGCGAGGTAAAGGGCTTGGTCCAGTACAATTTTGCCATTGTACAAGTGGTGCTCTTGCAACATTTTAGCCGCCCGCGCGTAGTCGGCAAAAAGGCGGTGGATCGGCAAGGTGGACCCCTCTCGGATTTTGGTGATTAGGCAGTAGACCCCACAAGTACACTGTAGCCCCTACCCCATCTGCGTCAAAGCAGTGCAGTCAAGGATACCTTCTGCTGGAAACTCTCAGATAGACCGATTCGGACCATGTTAACGTACGGGGCTGAAACTTGGCTTGCAAAGGTAAGTGACCATGCTAATCATAAATCCTAACAATTTCTTGCAGACTTTAAGTTCGGATGCTGAGAGTGGGTACAGGAGGGTCATTAAGTATGCCAACGTATATGCCTATCAATTTTTTGGAAACTTCGGCCGAGGAGCTAGGATTCGAGGGGGGAGGGGGCTAGGCGGGTGGAGCCGGGTATATCAATCCTTAATGAGTTCATTAATATGACCATGCTTAGTTGACCCAGAATATCGCTTCAGCGGTTGCGCAAGGATGAAGGAACGGGTTCTACAGTAATGCAATGATATCAAGCGAACAATCAGTTCAGGTTCATACAAGAGAATACCCAATTTTTATTACTTTAGTTTTTAATTTATGGAATCAATCGAACTTCTTTGAATTCGCAATCATTTTCAACAACTAGACTGATAGAAATGCGTAGTATATTCATATTAAGCACCTCCTATTGCTGCTTTTGTTCAGTACGAGATCATGCAGATGCTTAGAGCAGACAAGCAACTATCGAAGATAATCATCATCAAAGTAATCATTTCACAAGCTTTTTGATGCGTTCATCAGAGTCCTTCGTCAGTTGTCTATAATAAGCCTGAAAAAGATTATCATCTTCAAATTATCCAAATCCTGTACAGATCGTATAAAGCCCAAATGCTCGCTCCTTATCGTGAATGCCAACATGCGAGAGCGGTTCTGTGAGGTACAGCGTACAGGTCGATATAATTAGTGTTTTCTTCAATTTTCCTGTTTTTTTTTAAAGTTTTACATTGTGAATGTATTCTGGGGCAACTTCAGAAATCATCAGCTTTGGAAAGAGATCGCGCGAACCGAAGGTTGGCTCTTTGTGTATCGAAAGATGTTTACAAACTCTCGTTTTGTTCGAGGCAAGGTGCACAAGTGGACTTTACGCAGTTTTGAAAAAATTCGATCCAAAATAAGAAATTATAAAGAAGTGGCAATTTTCCTAATGTCATCATTCATCAAAAGAAGGTTATTTGAGCTGAAAATACTGCTAGATCCAGGAGAAAACCTACCGAGCATTCTGGACTCGCCAACTCATCTAGCATTCGACGCAGTAAAGTTTCTTCGGAGGCAAACTTGAGTAAGAAATCCTTTATTCGAGAGTAGATAAACATTCTGTACGGCAGCCTTGCAATAGCTGCCATACAAGTTGGAATCACTTGTATCAAGAAGTCGTGATTTAGAGAGCCTTTGACGATCTAAAAATAATCGTTGGAAAATAATAAAACTACACAGTGATTGAGAAATATAGAACCACCACCGTATAACTACCCCATTTGACTCTCCCCCCCCCCCTCAATGCCTGCAATCACTTTGGAAAACGGTGCTGGTCAAGACTATAGATTCACTCTATCAACTGCAATAATTTGTTTGGTTAGTAAATATTAAAGTTTGGCAAAAGTGTATTACAGAATCTGGTGTCTGTGGACATCGTCTTTGCTGTTACTAAAAGAAGAATCTTGCGAAGGCTAGAATGGAAGCTGGTCAAAGCTATAAAAATGTTGGAATTTTGACACGTAGTTTTGCTTCCATTAGATTTTGCAGGCAGCGGCTTGGCAGAATGACAATTTCGGGATATTCATCGTTCTCTGTTCCCCTGGACGAGCTAAGTCCAATTTGTGCTTTGCAGCTTCAAAAAATATCAATAACCCGCTTTTCCAAACGTGAAAAGTGCTATCCGAGCGAACCGCGTATTCCTGCTTTCTAGAGCGCGATTGGCTCGTGAGTAGAGACACCGTACCTACCGTACCCACAGCCAATCGGCTCTAGAGGGCCATACGCGGTCCTCCCAAATAGCACTTTTCACTTCTGAAAAAGTGGGTTATTGATATTTTTTGAAGCTGCAAAGCACAGCCTTGGACTTAGCTTGTCCAAGGAAACCGAGAACGATGAATATCCCAAAGTTGTCATTTTGCCGAGCCGCTGCCTTTGAGTAGACATTCTCAAAATTTGAAATTCTCAAGCTTATGTTTGTAAACTTCGGTCCAAAATAGTTCAAGAAGGTATTTTGTTTTCGCTACTACTAGAATAAAAAATTGGAAGAATGATCCGATGGAACCTAATTTCGCTCCCAGAATCCGTCTTCCAAACAAACCTTTGAGACAACTGCTTGAGTTATAACAATGAAGGCCGTACGGTTGAGACCAGTACGGGGCGCTTCTTCCTCCGCAATCTTCAACAACATCGGACCTATTTGACGTAACATCTCACAGCATATGCGTATGACACGTTCCTAAAAAACGTTTAAAAAATTATTGTAATGTCCCGGACTTCGACAGTCACATCATTATCAATCAGAGTGATAGATTGCAGCTCTCGAAATTGATTCTTTCACCTGCACTTCCTCATCCTCACTTTTTAAGAGTGCTACAACTTGATAAGCCAGCTTGGAAGGCACAGCATCTTCGATAAGAGGACGTACAACGGCAAATGATGTAGTGGTGCCTAGCACCTGCAAAATATGTGATACATTCAACATTTTCCCTTCAAACTAAATCACCTCAAATAAGCGAGAAACAAAAGCCTCAGAGTTGCCGGGTGATAAATCCGTAGTTATCGGCTGATTTATTTTGTCTAACATCCGCACTATATGGTCCCAAATCATAGAGGTGAATCCTTTAGTGTCCAGTTCTAAAAATTTTGTAATGAGTTGGCAAATTCAATCAAATCTGGTCATTCGCAGAATTGTGGAAGTTCAAACGAGAAATAGGAGGTCATCTGTAGCGATACTAATCCAATTTATTCCTTATAAAAATAATTTATGTACCTCTGGATGTGGAGTGAGCCATAACGGCATAAATCCACAAAGGTAAGAGTTTGGAAATAATAGGTGCTTGTTGACCTTCCAGTCTCGCCAAGATACCGTTGCAGAAAGAGAACAAAAAACTGGCATCTGGTTGAGCACTGTAAGCAAAAAAATAGCCTGGTATTCTTGAACTACTAATATGTTTGATAATTTCAATAAAGGGTACCCACCAACCCAATTTTTCTATGCACCATTTAAACCGGGAAGAAGACTGCATTGTCCTAGTTCGTATACCTGCAGCTAACTGAAAAAATTTAGCTTTCTGTTACTTGCAAATTTGGAACAAAATTACGTTACAAGTCATTGAAAAAATGAAACACTCTGGCATACTCTTGATCATTTGTACGAATTACTTAGAAATTGACCGGTACTTCCGCAGAACAAACAGCAGTTTGGAGAAGTTCCGACTGGTCACCTGCGCAAGTTCCGTAAACGTGCTGTGGAAGTTCCGAGTGAGGTGCTCGTAAGTTTCGGCAAAAGAGAACACCGAAGCGAGACTTGAACCTTACTCTATTGGCTGTGAGACTCACCTACTATCCTCTGCACTATGCACTCTAGTTGTTGGCGATGCAACATCGTATTAGACAACATATTTAAAACCCTGCGGAAGTACTGGCATGTCAAAATGCTGCGGAACCACTGCCATTTTTCGGAAGTTCCGCAGCGCTTTGTGTAAAGCCCTACGGAAGTTTCCGTTTTCATCCAGTCTAACGTGAAAATCCTGCGGAAGTTCCCACTTTCAACGTTTCCACTTTTGCATTAGTAAGCAAAATCCTGCGGAATTGGCGGCGCTGCAAATTTTGCTTGCCCCGCGGAAGTTCCGGTGGATTGTCTGATACTTGAAAATCTTGATAACTCATTTTTGGACGTCTGCATGCTCAAACTGATATTTCTCAGGAGTTCAATGCATTTACAGAAATAAAGCCCTCTATGACTCAGTCTATACCCAGTCTTTTCAAGTGAATTTAGGCTACATTTGGATTTACGGCAGAATTCTGCTTTGTTTCATCAAAGTTTCGACCGAAGACGGAACTTTCAAAAAGTAAATTTAACTCAAATTTGTATGACCTTCCTAGAAATTTACCTGATTTACAACAAAATTGCTCAGTTTTGCATCGGCCGCTCTGGATGTAGCAAGAAGCTTCGCTGCTTCATCCCAAATGGAGCCACTAATCTCTACATCGGCATCTTCGAGCCGGTAAAGAAGGCCAAGCAACTCTGGCTCAGAGGCTGTAGAAACAAAACGATCCATTTTGACTTTGTTGGAATCGTTAGGATATGTTCGTAGCACAACAGCACATCTTCTCGCAAATACCAGGTTCTTCTCAGGTAACGGTAATGCATTCAGGCCTGATAAGGAATGTCTTAGCTCTACTCTGGTACAACTTCGTTCTGATTGAAGTTTGACTTACAATTGATAATAACAGTAGCAATCTTTGTAGCATCTCCTTCAGAGCTGATACTGGCAAGGACATCCAATGCATTGAACAAAATATTACAATCTTCATCATCGGCACTTTTTACACATTCAGTAATCCATTCACAAAATTTCGCAGCCAGTACTTCACCATCAGGACTCGCAGATCCTGAACGTTTCATAAATTTCATAAACCTTTTGTAAACTTCGAGGATTACCCCTTAACGCAGAAATGATTGCAAGCAGTATAGACAGAGCAGAAGGTAAAACACACTGATCCGATAATAATCTGACACTAGAATATCTGTTCACAACAATTCCAGAGCAGGAACTCAATTGGCGATCTGGAAAAGGAGAAGACCGGCAGATACTACATTGTATTCTTGCACTGGAGCTGTGTCCAAGCAACCTGGGTTTCACGTTGGGAAAATTGTTTGGTAATTTTCAACTAGGCCATTCCCCAAGCGAGAAAAATTGTGATGTACTAATGACTGAGAAATTCTGCTCCAAAATCTTGTCCAAACCGTACCCCGGCGGACTAACCATCACGTCAAACCCAGGATTGGTCCGCTCGAAAGGATACGGTCTGGGCGAAAGCTTTGGGTTTCTCGACTACAAATAAATCACAGGAATTGCCGCTTGGATAGTTGTTAAGTGAGAATCTTCTCAATAATCACATAATAAATCCAGTCACCAAAATTTATCTGAAGAATGCTCATAGGTTGGCTCCCAAGTTCCCTCTACATGATCGAAGTGGTCAAGAGTATCGTCCACCAGGATGCGATTGGAGAGTCAAGGACTGAAAAACCATACCTGATAGAAGCTCCAGCAGAAACTGAATCAAGAGCATCTCTTCAGAAGTGCAAAATTTGAAGGATGATTTGACATGTTCAGCCCAGCGCGATGGATCGTCTCTGCTCATTCTCTCCTCAAAGATTTAGCAAATAGGTCATATGCGATAAGTTGAGGAGACTTACGAGTTCAGGGATTTCGGTACTTTCAACTGTTTGAAGAATTTTCGTAATAAATTTGGAGGCAGATTTTCTGAAAAATTCATTGAATCTCCAAAAACTAAACTGCGACAAGAGGAAGGGGACACACAAAGTAACTTGCAAGAAGAAATATGCTAAAAGGGATAATCTGATGCCGGAACAATGCAGTGGGGGACTAAGGGAGGTCACTGGTTCGCGAAAATTCTGGAAGAATTCTACATGAGTCAGAAGCGCAATGACTTGCTATGATATGTACTTGTGAATAATGGCAATATTTTTGGATTGTTTCGAAATTTTCAATTGTTTATATGAAAACTTTAACCCCATATATTCGCCTTCGAAAAATCCCTCGCTTAGCTCCGAAAAAGTTTTTGAGACCGCCTTTAGCTAAGCAAACAACTGTGAACTTTACCTAATCTTCATGAAGCCATTGATCTGATGTTTCTGGATGAAACAGTAAAGTACTTTGAAAGTAAGAAGAGGGTCACTTTCGCACAGTAACTCCCCTATTCCGACCAATAGAACAAACCGAGAAGTGACTTCTTCGAGTGCTGAAAATAAGCTAAACATTGTAGAATCAAAGATTTCTTCACTCTTATCTCTTCGAACTATAGATGATATTGTGATCTGCTGTAATACGCTGTGGTCATTCCACAAAAGGCTACTAGATTTCTCAAAAGGATTGGTTGCTTTTTGGACTATCTCCGGAATTAGGAAGCATTTAAACTCCACCTTTCTCTCTAACCAACCGAATTTATTAAATAGTCAATCGGACTTACGCATCAGTCGAATGTCAATGAAATGGGAGATTATTTCCGTAGTAAACTCGAAAAATTCAGCTGCAGATGGAGCGGCAGCAGTATTTCCTCCTAAAACAGAGGCCAAAAATGACCAAATCAACTTAAATTTATAACTTACTGAACGAATCTGAAGTTAACAATTGTTTGCTATTAGTTAGGCATTGCATGATACGCAAACATAATTCCAGCACTTTCGGAGCATGATAGCGATAAAGATCCACTAATACTTTTTGCACACAAGAACATTGTATGCAAGAGCCCTGAAGGAAATTTAAGTAGAATCAAGATTGATCAAGCTCGCAGGCAGTGTCTAAATAAGTTTGTGTAAGTTTCTTTCGTGGAAGATGACTGAGGCGCTTTGAGTCTTTGCCTAGGCGGCAGCGCCCTTCTGGACGGGTTAATCAGCGTTGTTGAGTACGGTAGAAATATTCATTTCTCAACCGACCAACAAATCACACGAGCTACCGCTTTGCTGGCTTGGCAAAGTCCTCCCAATCAGTTCCACATAAGAAAGCCTGGTTTCATTTGCTTAGACACTGCCCTTAAAGGTAGCGGCTCGGAAAAATTACAACTGCGCTCTTTCTCTTCCCTTGGCCTTCTGGATGCGTTTAGACCAGAGCTGTGGGCTAAAGTTAAAAAAAAAACGCTTTTCATGGCGTGTTCCAGCCTTGGAGATTGCTGATTGCTGTAACACCGCTCATTTTGGCGGCAATTGGCTGATTAGTCCAAGCAGCCAATCGCGACTCGGCTGCAGGAATCTCCGCTCCAGCCTTCTCAGCAATCTGCAAGGAGGAGAACGCCATAATAATTACTTTTTTGACTTTGACTTTTCAAGCACAGCTCTAGTCTAAACGAATCCAGATGGCCAATGAGGCACAGAAAGCGCGCACTTGCAATTTTCCCAAGCCACTACCTTTGAAGGTGGGCAAAATCTTACGCATCTCTTCCGTAATGCGGCAATTCCTGTTAGCAAAATCGTCAATGCATCGTCTCCAGACAACGCACACCCATCAGGAAGCTGTCGTGTAGTTTCTGTTATTAACAAATTGATAGGACGATGACTCGATACAAAATCGAGAAGCTTACGTTTGTTAAATAATTTACAAGCTGTGTGCCATGCGAACAAAGCCATGTGGAACGGTATGTTCTGACAGAAAATCTTATATATAAAGCTGAATGTCTGTTTGTCTGTATGTCTGTATGTCTGTCTGTATGTACGTATGTTCCGAATAGAAAATTCCATTTCTTAACCGATCCGGACCAAACTTGGCACACATACCCTTCGGGCCCCGGCGGGTGTCATAGGCTACTTTTCGTATCGATCGATATCGATTTTATCGATTTTTTGCAAAATTTGAGCTACGGGGCTGGGAGTTGGCACAGGGGGGTAAGTGAGCATGGGGATTCCGAATACAATATTAGTTTTTAAAATCGTGCATTACTTTTATTGATTCTATCGATTTTTTGCAAAGTTTGAGCTACGTGGCTGGGATTTGGCACAGGGGGGTAATCGAGCATGCTGATCACCCCCGTGGGGGTGATCAGCATGCTCGATTACACCCCTCTGCCAACTCCCAGCCCCGTAGCTCAAATTTTGCAAAAAATCGATAAAATCGACATCGATCGATAACGAAAAGTGGACTGTGACACCCGCCGGGGCCCGAAGGGTATGTGTGCCAAGTTTGGTCCGGATCGGTTAGGAAATGGAATTTTCTATTCGGAACATACGGCGGAGCCGGGTAAGCCAGCTAGTAAAGTCAATAAAAATGGATAAGCTAAGAAGGCTAATGAATCGCTGATTTTGGCGAATCAGGAAAATAATGTTGCTTTCTCGATTTCTACGTGCCACACAGATTGCCTGGGAAAGTCACAAAGGATGAATATACAGGGTGTCCCAAAAAATGTGCACACTGTTTGATCGTTAACAACTTCCATGCTTTTATGTCTTTAGCCGACCTACAGGTACCATTCTGTAGAGCGAGTTTCACTTAGACTAATAGTATGGAGCGAGACATCGATCGCTTGATCGCTCTTCATTACTGTACATAGGATTACAGTAGGCAATAAAGATTTCAGGCCATTGGAGGTCATTTTCTGCCTCGGAACAAAACTAAACAAGTTAAAAACTACTACGCTATGGAAATGGAAACCGCTGATTTCGAATATGAAACTTCTACTTTACTGTGATGCTTTTTTTCTGAGTTATCCCAGGTGAACCGTAATAGCTGAAACCCCAGCATTTATCAGAAATGTGATTACATCGTCAAAAAAGCTGATAACACTCGTAAAAAGTTTTGTAGTGGAATCAGCCTGCGCGAAAACAATAGCACACGATTTTTCATTTTTTTTTTGAAAAGAACAATGGTTCCGTGTGCTGGAAGTTTTTACCGTAATCCTGCAGTAATGAAGAGCGATCAGCAATTCGCTCCATACTGTACATCTAAGTTGAATTTCGCTCTAAAGAACTGTGCCTAAAGTTTAGTTAAAAACATCAAAGCAAGGATGTTACTAACGATCGAACAGCATGCACATTTTTTGGGACACTTTGTAATATTTGCTAGAATCGTACACGCCATTTCAAAGAAATTGTTACATCTTTCTATCTTGTTGGTTGTGCTCGGCATGAGTTTTATTTTGAAAAAGAAGAGGTTAAATATTCTCTTAGGTCGCGCAGAAAAGCGGAAGATGGAAATTGTTATCCAATTTACAGGCAGTGTTGCCAAAAAACCGAAAAGTGGCAATAGAATCCGAAACAGTTGATGACAATAGTTTTATGAATTCCTAATTCTCGAGAGCATAATTTGCGTTGACCTGTAACTCAAAAGTGATGCTTTGCGAGGAAAATACCAGAAACTCAACTCTGTGTTTATACTGTACACTCAGAAAATTACAACGTTCCAAGAAGACCTCGATCTGCACTAATTTTGCTTTCTGAACAAAAAGAGGTTGAAAAATCTATGCTAGTGACTGCTTCATTTATTGCATCATTTTCGAATTTTTGGCAACCGTGCTCAAATCATCACCAAAGAAATTCGATCCTTCTTTCGTATTCATCCCTGCGGTGTTTGCTAGATAGTCATCATGATGTCAGCAGAAAGAGTATTATATTTTCCATTCCTCATAGAATCAGTGCCAAACAATTCCAACAAGATAAAAAGAATCACGGTTTCCTAAGAATGGTGCGAGCGACCGTCCAACTACCCTGGTTTCACGCGTACAAGGCGCGGGGGATTTTTTTTTCTCCAAAATTGACTAGCACAAACACGCCAGAGGACTTCGCAACCAAAGGACCCTGGCGTGCTGTATATTGCTTAGAATCGTAAAGCTTTCTAGATAGATTGAATGGTCAAATTTCATGTGATCTTTGTAGTTCTTTGTAGCGCCGTTTTTCTTCATCTGAGAGTGATACATTCAGGTTCATATTGACGCCTAAAAACTCAATTATCGTGCCACCGCCCTAGAAGAGAAAATTACCATGATGGTAAAGCAAAGGCTTGCTCCTTCAAACATACAGTCGAACCTAATGTGTCGCTGCAGTCGAAATTTGCTGCTACAGATCAAACTACGGCAGTGTAATATATTTTGACTCACTTGCGAACAGCCAGAAGTTGGAACGTCCGCAGCAGTGTTACAAAGTGGACCAACTTTGAGCAGAAAATTTCGATACAAGCGGTGGAAGTCAACTGTCGATTTTACTAGATCATCACTCATCCCAACGAATTCCAGTAAGCCGAGCACTGTAACAGACTACCGGATGCGAGTATGGAAGACTTATGCGAAAAGATAGTAAACTCACACTGCATGAACTCTTCCATTCTACTGATACTAGATGCTGACTGGAGACGCCGTAACACTTTGAATATATGCCCAAAAAGGTACTCGATGCCATTTGAAGTCTCAACCTGTAAAGGTAAACAATGTGAATAGCAGTCGAGCGGAAGATTGAAGCCTACCGAAGCCATGCAAAAAGACGAAGATCCTATTTTGGCAAAATCTGCATATTCTTCGCGCAATGAGGGTAGTGCGCGAGAACTGAGAGTGCCGCCGGATGCTCGGACTGGCGTTCCGACCACCACATCGAAATTCACTTAAAAAGAAATTATAAGCAACATAAATTAGTCATCTTTTCAAAGCGTTTAGATAGAAACCATGGATAATAACTGCTTTCAGAAAAATCTGCAGTTTTGGCACGACTACAAGACAACTTGCCTATCTGCTCACCTTTTTCGCACTTGAAAGTACGGCTCCATGGTTCACGTGCGGTGTGACAGCCCTCTGCACTCTGTTCCAAAGTAAAAATCGGGTTTTGGCTACGCTCGAAGATATCCATGAGGATTTTCTCAAATAATTTTCTTTTGCTACTATTCTACTACATAAAAATGTGGTTGGAACATGGAGGAAAGAGATTTGCAAGAGATCCAACATCTATTTTGAAAGGGCCGTTTCTGATGATCCGATGTATGTATTATAATTACTCTTTTCAAGGAAAAGAATGGTCATTTATTTGGCGGATATGACTGAGAAGCCTTAACTAACCACTGCCTAAGCTGCAGCTCATACAAACTGTTCGCGAGCGAGAAATCCGACTAGAAACCTCAGCCTATTTTTTCGAGCAACCAGTCAGCCTTGACGGTAGAGTACGGTCTGGGCAGAGCTCAGAGTCACATATCTTAGCATGGGCAATGGCTCAAATCCATACGCAGTTTCCATCCAAAAGACTCAGATATACAGATATGACTTTGATTAGACCTTCCAGCTCGAGAAATCGAACACCTTATCAGGAAAGAGAATGGCAAGTTCGGGTCATGCAAAGAGGGTATTGGCAAAGTGCTGTATTTTTAGAGGGAAAAAATCAGCTCACAGAAACGACTAGTGCGAATGAAGTGCTCAGGAAAGTAACATATCTATGATTGAATACTGGTCAAAAGTATATAGCAAAATCATATTGACGCTGAAGAACGTTGACTATTATAGGAAACTAGCTGGCTTACCCGGCTCCGCCGTATGTTCCGAATAGAAAATTCCATTTCTCAACCGATCCGGACCAAACTTGGCACACATACCTTTCGGGCCTCGGCGGGTGTCACAGTCCACTTTTCGTTATCGATCGATGCCGATTTTATCGATTTTTTGGAAAATTTGAGCTACGGGGCTGGGAGTTGGCACAGGGGGGTAAGGGAGCATGGGGATTCCGAATACAATATTAGTTTTTGAAATCGTGCATTATTTTTATCGATTTTATCGATTTTTTGCAAAATTTGAGCTAGGGGGCTGGAATTTGGCAGAGGGGTGTAATCGAGCATGCTGATCACCCCCGTGGGGGTGATCAGCATGCTCGATTACCCCCCTGTACCAAATCCCAGCCCCGTAGCTCAAACTTTGCAAAAAATCGATAAAATCGATAAAAGTAATGCACGATTTTAAAAACTAATATTGTATTCGGAATCCCCATGCTCGATTACACCCCACTCTGCCAACTCCCAGCCCCGTAGCTCAAATTTTGCAAAAAATCGATAAAATCGATATCGATCGATACGAAAAGTAGCCTATGACACCCGCCGGGGCCCGAAGTGTATGTGTGCCAAGTTTGGTCCCGATCGGTTCAGAATTGGAATTTTCTATTCGGAACATACGTACAGACAGACATACAAACAGACATTCAGCTTTATATATAAGATGTTATTTGCAGAAGTAATTGAATACCACAGGTAAAGTTAAGGTAGATTACGAAAAAAGCAATGGTATACTGAACTTATTACTCTAAGTAAGAAGCAAAATTTCGGAATATCACAGATAAATGTGCAAATGACTACCGAATGTGAATATGACTAGCGAATGTCGATTTTGGCTTGGTTCAGTTCCGATAAGTATTAGAAAACTCAGCAGGTTTCAAACGACGTAGATAAAAGTTAGAGAAGAATTGTCTAAAAAGAAACGCAAGAAGGACACACAAGGCGGATAGAATCATTATCCATAATTGCTCACGAGAATAATGGAGCGACTATTCCATGGAAGGTCCGTTTTCACAAAAAGGGAAAATTTGATTTTCTTAGAGTTACGAAAATAGATAATAGATTCAGAAGAGGAAACTGAACACATGCAGACGGAATAAAAATACGCACTTCAACATATAGAATATGTTGAAAGACAGACCAAAGGACAGAATCAGACCTGTAGTACTATTACTTCCAAAAGAACAATAAGAGAACTCCAGGATTTGAGAGAAAAAGGTATGGGAACACAAGGCAGACGGCTGAGAATTGCAATTTTACATTTGGCGCGATCTTGCGGTGTACACACACTGTAGCAATTAGGCGTTCAAATTCTGCTCTGATTTTCGGGGAACGTCCGGAAGGCGACAAATGACCTAGAACAGGCGCAGCTAGTGGCCACGCCCTGTCCGAGTTTCCCGTTGTTAGGATGCTCTGGATATTTGGATTGGGGCGCCTTTACACATATTGCGCATGGCTCTCTCAATCTCTGGCTTCGTCGTTTCTTCTCACGTGGTTTTTGAACGTGTTTTTGTTTCGTGTATGTATATTATTGCTTACTGTGGTAAATGATTTGCTTTCTTTTGTATTTGCCTATCTGTTAGCATATGCTCTTCAAAACTGCCTTTTGTAGAAATTTTTGTTTCAGGCTGCAGCAATATGTATAGTGCAATAGAAGATCATCCTACTAAGAAGGTTAGTAGATACCTGCGTTCTTGAGTGATGTGTTACTTTTGTATTTTTTCATAAGTTAGGGGTTTATTTGAGTATACCATATTTTTATATGTTGATTAATTCTTGTGCAGACCTCGTCCAAGTTGATGATGGACGGATAAAATGTGAGTAGAATTCCACTCAACAACGGTACTGTAAGCCAGTCATATCAAGTAAAGGTGAGCCATTATTCTTTTGCATCTTCTTCACAATACGACTTTTCTTCAGGCTGAACACAGAAGAAGATTTGGAGCACTTCGAGCAAGGACGCATTCTGCGGTGGGACCTCGATTTTGAGATTATTCGAGCACTTCATTTTTTTTTGATTTCAGCTCGCTTGCAATACACTGTAATGTGATAATGACAATAACCATTCTTTTTTCTTATTGTTAGCATCGCTGCCTTTTTTTTATTGAGGATAAAGGATTACTTTCAAACTGTAGGACAGAACAGCGCAGAAAAGCACGAGAAAGGTCATAGAAGTGATTATGAACAGAATGCGGGTTTGCTAAATGGGTTGAGTAATTAGACAGTTTTGGATTTCCTGCAAAAAGAGTTTGTATTTCTTCCACCGAAACGGAGCTGACTTGCAACAGTATGATCGTTCTGATTTATCTTGTCTGTTTGAACAAAACCACAGTCGGTCTTTGTCATGCCCTGATTACCCTTCATGACGAGCTCAGTACGATGCATAATCTATGAATCTGAATGTGACAAATCGACTTCGGTGAATCAAAAGAATGAAGATCGCGGAAGAACTGCACTCCTAGATCAAAAGAACGCGCTTTCGAGGAAACTGATCTGCTTATAACCCGTTTTTGGATGGTGAATTGCGATTGTGTTCTCTCATTTGTCCCAAAGCTATAATAACGTGTTTCATAGGTCTGTAGTGCTTGACCTTTCTAATCTTGAATTGAAGGAACCAAAAGTTGCACTAACAAACTTATAGACAAGTATCAACAAGGAGATAAACAGGTTTGAAGTGACATTACTCCGTACACTTCTTAGCCCATATTTGACCAGTAGTTTGACTCTAGGCAACAAGCAAATCAATAGGAACTCTGAAGAATCCTGCTACCATTAGTGCGCCAGCGCGTGTGCCGAAAGAGCGTCAGTCCTTAACCTGGTTGACCTCGCCTCGGTGTCACAGGCGCTCATGGGGGGCGTGGCCTCCATGCGCTCGCTCCAACTGCGTTTTGTCGCCTTCCGGCCTACACCCCTGATTTTCGGCTGCACGTCAGGAGGTACGCCGGGCGCAGCGGCCGCTCTTCCGCAGACGCCGCGCAGAAATTTTGGGGCCTCCAAGACTCCCCGCCAATAGAGATTCCGGCGGCAAAAACAGGGGGTGAGGGTGGGGGCAGATACATGACTTTGATGCTATAAGTAAGACTGCGCCAGAAGTGCTGCTGCTGTAAGGGCTGAAGTACGTTGCGGCGTCGCTTCGCGAAAAATTCGCGCCGATCGTACCTCCTGACTGTCCCCCCTGATTTTCAACTTCCCAAGTTGAAGGGTTTGAGGGAAGGATAAGCCTTGCTTATGTTTTTGACTCGCATGATTTTGTGTGGATACGTTCTGCGATGTAATTGTAAATCTTTAAATCAACATTTATTTGCTGCTTCTACTATAAATGATGAATGTGTGGAAGTGGATAATCTCACTCTTTTATATAGACGCAGTCACTCCTTTAGAATCCATTATTCTCACCGCCATGGCTTATCAAATTGAGAAATGTTGTACACTGGCTGTACACTTAGCATATCATTTACAGATGAGTGCTAAACAGTACGCTAGGCTTGTTCCGAAAGCTCATCGAGCACGGAGAACACCGGTAATTGACCGGCCTATGCGGCCAAGAATGATCGCTTGGGCAGGACCAGCAGCATTCTACCCAAACAGGTATGCATCCTATCGAATTTGATGGTTCATCTGAGCAACAAGCTTTAGATTCTATGAGCTTGATAAATGGTATAAGGGTCGAATTGACAAGCCAGAAGAAGTTCCTAAATTCCATATTATTGATCCCACGCAGCATCTGTATTCGCTGAAGGAATATCTGGAGAAAGGTATTATCACTTCATTTCACCTGCTCAACTTTTTCTGAGTCCTTCTCAAAAGCTAGTTTTTCAGAAAAGCAGAAAGCTGCACCATGTAACATAGGATTTGCTCCACGACAGCAGAAGATTGCTGTACCTAAGACAGATGCACAGCGCGAAGAACTGGAGCGTCAAGCTAGGAAGATGAAACGTAAGTTTTGATTGATGCTGTTTTCTGACACAGCCTTTTCTGGATCATGGTATTTTACCTCTCCAAAGATCTATCATACGAAATGTAGTTCAACGTTGGTCCACTATTATTCGTGACTAGCTTATTTTCAGTATTTGTGCTCATATTCTTTGAAATGATTGCAAGTTCTCTATTTCAGTTATTGTGGATCCTGACACTACAAACTTCGAAACCTTAGCTGTGCTCAACCACTATAAGATTTTCGAGCACCTTTTTGGACCAGGTACTTTCTTTAAATCTAATCTGCTATTTCATCTTGTATCTCTCTTCAAAACTAATAGTAATATCCCATGTGACGAAGACCGAAATCAATCACCTTGAATTTTAGGTGTATTTTTCGAAAACGTTCAGAGCATGGACGTCGCTTTCGGAGAGAATGGTGTATACTACGGAAATACTCTTTTAGCAAAGGATGCCCAAACACAGCCCCAGGTAAATGTTTACGTTTGTGTTTCAGCTCATGTTGCTTTATATGTGTGTTCAACATAGACTTGTTTTGTTTCTGCTATCGAAAGCTTGAGTTTGGAAGACTTGATATGCAGTTTACATCGGAAGTGAATTCAATGAGAATTGGTACTATTACTTGAATGATTTATATCGTGTTGCTCTTTTTTTTGCTTATATCAATCATTCTAGCAATTTATGTTATTATGTGCTTGTGAATGATCTGGGATATAGCGATGCTCTAGCGTTCAAAAGCTGACTTTCTCAGTTCTTAGACAATCTCTGATGCCGACGTTTAGGTGGGAATCGAATCTATAAAACCTGGCGGCTACAACACATTGCTCATGTTGAACCTGGATGGGAACCCGTATGAAAAAGAAGGTCCTATCACTCACTGGTTCGTTGCCAACATCCCTGATGGTAAGGGTGTGGATGAAGGGGAAGAAGTGGGTTTTCCTTTTCATTACTTGGCGGTAGTTCTTCAGTAATTGACTTTATTATTCAGGGAAACTATTCATCATTTTAAAAACTTTTGGATCCTTTGATTCTTCATAGTTTCGGCATGAACATGCTCTTTTGATATTTTTTGTGGCAAAGCGCCGCACTTATGTTTTTGGTGTTTTTAGATTGTGAATTACGTGCAACCACTGCCATTCTATGGCACAGGTTACCATCGCGTAGTGTTCTTGCTATTCCGGCATAACCAGAAATTAAATTCATCTTTAACCCTAAATAGGTATGGTCAGTTCAGTCAGTGATTATGTTTCCAATACCAAGCTTTTAGCAAGTCGCTAGATGGGCGGATATTGCAGTTATCGCGTTTCTATAAAGATAATGAGGATATCATCACACCATCTTCGGTGCTGTTTTTCCAGACCTGCTATGATGACTCGGTTAGGTTGCAGTTACATGAAATGGGTAAGATTTCGAAATTATGTTTTGTTTGATCACCTTTCTCTTTCGCATCACCAATGCAGCTTGGTTTTGTTTTGAAGCAAAAATGCTTGTTTTTGGAGGTTTGAAGTCTCCACTCTACGAATATAAATACAATGAACCATTGAAGCCTGAACAAAAGGAGTTCCCAAAAAGGCCACAACCTTTTGATATGTGAGATTTTGTTTTTTCATTCATTGACAGTTTAACATTGCATAACATGCTACATTGCTTAGGTACCTTGATATGTATCGTGATCCTAAGGAAGTGGAGAAGGAGCTGTTAGAGGAGAGGTTGAAACGAGCTCAACTAGACGACTATCAGGTACGGTGAAAGTTTCTGCGTAGATGTTAACTGTGAAAGGAGCTTGTTCACGTAGGCACCAAAATGGTTGGATCCGAACTACAATGAGAATAAGAAGAACCTACCCGCTTGGCAACACCGAAGAATACTTGCTAGAGAAGGTCGATATCGGGCGTTGTACGATAATAGGTTGAAATCTGATGCATAAAGTTAGGTATTTATAGACTTTCGTTGTTTTGTTTGATCTTTTGTCAAGTCAAGACTAGAAATGTTCATATCATTGAGTATAGGCTGTAAAAATCTATCAACTGGAATAAATCTGCGTTTTACCTATAATTAGTGGTTTGGAGGCGAAAACTGTTGATTTATAGCAACATATGGCTAAGGTACCTCATACAACAATACAGTATTTCAGGCAGAAACAAATAAATACTAAAAAGAGTACACAAAGGTAATGTCCAGGTAAATCTGGATGACTTGGCTTCTCATTTGAACACTGTTTGGAAGGACCAAGGTGAGCCATTGCCCAAGGTGCAACACAAATGATTCATTCATAGACGAAAAATTCATGTCTAAAATCTCGTCCAGTACCGTACTCGACTATTTGGTCCGGCCGCAAAAAGTACGATCCAGGCGAGAATTTGATTTTGAATCTTTCTTCCACGAGTGAATCAGCTGAGCTTCCGCTTGAGCAATGGTTCAGACAAGATTCTGCAAACAATTTTCACATGAGAATTCCAGCACTCAGTTAGATTGGCCTAGACACCACCTACAATGGCGAGATCCCGAATCATACTTAGAGGTATAAATGACACGATATTGATCGTTAGAGCAGCAGTTCAACCTTTGTATTCACTCCGTCTAATTGTTCTTCGGTATTTTGCAGAACTTCCGCTGGTGGAGGTGTAGTTGGTGGCTCTACTTCGTCGAAGTCGTGGCGAGCATTTGCATCAACTAAATTTTGGTTCATGTTTTTTAGAATTTTTACAAATTCACGGAGAATTTCGGCCATACCGAATGTGTACTCGAACGTGAGTGTAATGCCAATATTGCGTGATGTAACTATGAATGGCACAGTGTTACTTCTGGAGAGAATTCGCTGTTGATAACGTGGTTGGCAGCAGAATCTGGAAATTGCGTAATTTACTTTTTACTGAAGGGGACAAAGAGAGACAATGCATTACCTGTAACCAACAAGACGCGGATCGGTAGACATTTTGAACTCTACACCATCTTCCCAGCATCCTTCAACGCATCTACCTTGGACACGGACTAGATTTACTAGCACGCGTTTGCCTCTGGGTGCCTTAAAACAGGAAGATCTTATATATAAAGCTGAATGTCTGTTTGTCTGTCTGTCTGTATGTCTGTATGTCTGTCTGTCTGTCTGTCTGTCTGTACGTATGTTCCGAATAGAAAATTCCATTTCTGAACCGATCCGGACCAAACTTGGCACACATACACTACGGGCCCCGGCGGGTGTCATAGGCTACTTTTCGTCATCGATCGATATCGATTTTATCGATTTTTTGCAAAATTTGAGCTACGGGGCTGGGAGTTGGCACAGGGGGGTAAGTGAGCATGGGGATTCCGAATACAATATTAGTTTTTGAAATCGTGCATTATTTTTATCGATTTTATCGATTTTTTTGCAAAGTTTGAGCTACGGGGCTGGGATTTGGCACAGGGGGGTAATCGAGCATGCTGATCATCCCCGTGGGGGTGATCAGCATGCTCGATTACACCCCCTGCCAAATTCCAGCCCCCTAGCTCAAATTTTGCAAAAAAATCGATAAAATCGATTGAAGTAATGCACGGTTTCGAAAACTATTATTGTATTCGTAATCAGCATGCTCGATTATCCCCCTGTGCAAAATCACAGCCCCTAGCTCAAATTTTGCAAAAAATCGATAAAATCGACATCAATCGATAACGAAAAGTGGACTGTGACACCCGCCGGGGCCCGAAGTGTATGTGTGCCAAGTTTGGTTCGGATCGGTTAAGAAATGGAATTTTCTATTCGGAACATACGGCGGAGCCGGGTAAGCCAGCTAGTAATATATTAGGTCGTTCCGAAAGTAATGTCGCTTTTTTCAAACGTATGCCACATCTCGTGGAACAAAGATGTGTAAGAGATTCTGGTAGCATTTGATGCAGCATTTCATTCTTTTTCTAATGGTTATGAAGATGTTGCAATAAACTCAATGAGCTTCCAGAAAAGAGTCAAAATCTGCGACCTATGCTTTTTAAGATGGCCAAGTTTCACAACTTTTCTAAAATTTTATAACAAACCTCAGAAGGAGTCCAAGTAAGGGATGGATGGAGCAAACCCTACAGGAAACAGCACAACTTTTTTCTACTTTCCAGAGCTTGTCATAATTTTTGTACAGATTTTTTTAAGGCCACCGAATTTTAACAGACTCGTCTCAGACACAAGTGCATCAAACGCCAACAAGTCTTCAGATTTTGAGACTTACAAAGACGGATTATGGTTTGGCAACAATTTTACAAACCAAACGAGCATTCACCGCTTCGGTTTAACAACTTTCGAAAATTTCGGGTACACTTTGAGGTCCCTTGGAAAAGTTGAATTATGAGATTTTATCCCGAAAAACTTGATGAATGGAAACAAAACAACAACCGCTAGAAAGAGGAGAAAAAGCTGCATCGAATGACACCCGAGTTGCTTGCCGATTGTTGTTCTGTGAGGTTTGACTTCACTAAATATGGAATTTGATGGCATTGAGAAATTGATTGTAGAAACTCTGAAAAGCAAGCTAAGGAAAAGAAAAAATTACTCTGTGTTCTATAGTGTTTGCTCTATCTACCTGCCGCTTGTACTTTTTCGGAGATTAGGTACAAAAATTTAGAAAATAGCCGAACTTGACCATGGCAAAAAGCATGAGTCGCAGATTTTGGTAATTTTTCGAGAGCTCATTGAACATTATGCAGTGGAATTAAAACCTTTAGAAAGACGATGAAATGCTGCATCGAATGCTCCTAAGATCTCTTGAAAATGTTGATTCCACGAATAGTGGCGTTCATTCGAAAAAAGCGACATTACTTTCGGAACGACCTAATATATTAGGTTGTCAAGAAAATAATGTCGTTTTTTTCGGGTTTTTTCGTGTAAAATTGATATTACTTGAGAACTAGAGCATACCCAAAGCCGAAATTTTATGGTTAAATTTACGAAGGTTTGTAGTATACAAAGGCATATGTGGGAAGGGCCTAGTACTACTGGGGGCGGAGTTTGCCATTTTCCATTTTCCAATTTTTCTTGGTTTCTAAGCATGGAAAAAATATAGCAAGTGTACCTATGGCTAAGTGCCTGTGTTCTTTACAAGCAGGAGCAAGTGAGAGGTCCGCAGGATTTTCTAGGGCGAAAATCCAATTTTTGGCATAATGAGTTGCTCGTATGTTTTGGCTCTGAACTTTTCGTAAACAACAAGTTCTGCCAATGTTCGGATATCATCTTGTAGAGTTTCTTTTGCTCTATCGATTGGTACCCCTCGCAATGTTTTTTGGATTTGTCCTATGGCTTTGCTATGAAAAACGACATTATTTTCTTGACAACCTAATAAAATCAAGTTTTTATTTAGCCAAGCAGCTGTTCCTAATCATTTGTGGCTAGAAATTCTACTTTGGACTCCAGCCCGGACCGTAATTTACCGTACTCAAGGCGCTGATTGATGCCTTTAGTGCGATTAGTGCAAATGCGGTTTGGGCTCGAGTTCAGAGTCAAGTTTCAAGGTCATGATAAGTCATATCAGCTGCCGTTTGAGCAAGGGCTCAGCTAAGGTCTCTTAATCAGTTTCTTATTGCAAAGCTCAGGAAGTTGAAAAAAACAATAGCAACAATAAAGTCCAAATCTCAAATTCTTACTTTCAAATGATATATACACTGCTTTGTTCGTTGTTGTCCGATCTGCCTGATGGTGATGTCGAATCTTCGAATTGCTTCGTAAGCGATCAACTCTCCTCCACAACCATTTGAGAACGATGGTGGTATAGCGTTACAATACTGTCCACCAAATCCACTCGGACATCTAGGCAGCAAAATTTCTCAAATTTATTCAGAATTTTCAAAACTAACGGAAATCTTTTCAAGTTTTTCAGTTTGAAAAAAAAATCTTGACTAACTTGCATCGATTACAATTTCTACTGTCAGTGAAGCCTCCATTTTGACATGGCAGTCGACGTGGACAACGAGCTTAAATATATTAAATTTCAACATTTTTTGAAGTTTGAACATGCATCAAAATTTTTCCCAAGTTTGTCAAATTTGAGGGAAATCGTAGGAACAGATTTTTCATGACTTCTTTGAGCTAACCTTGACAGTTATAATGCAAATTTATTGACATAACATCCAGAAATGATGGTCCCTCCATTTGTCCCATAGTTTGCTGAAGATTTGGATCAACTGTGGTCAAAGCAGGTATGTTTCTATATGAGGAAAACCTGAAAAAGATGTTTTGAGAAACTGATAAAATACAAATCAAAAAGAATCAATTATATTATATACACTACAAATATTGATTAATCAGAAATTTGTACTCAAAACTAATTATTTCGTCCCAAGGTTTAAAGCGTATCGCGTTGAGCAATTTATTGCACGCAGATGCATGGCGTAACTGCGGACGCTGTCTACGTCTCTCATGTTAAACGCGTTTTCATTTTTCCGACCGTCTGTTGCCTCTTTCAACACGTACTATCTTGATTGGAAGCAACTCCGCTCAGTCTCCACGTGCAATAATTTGCCTGTACAATTCATAATACTGTCTTATAATTTCCATAATCAATGTCTGTCACAAAAATTGTAAAACAGGCTCAACTGACTCTGTAGGAGTGTAGTGCATGACGCTGCCGACATCATAGGGTAGATTGTAGGTGTTCAGTTCTCTGGGACCAATCTGGATGAATTTTTTGATTGCCCTTCTAATCCAAAGTCTGAATATGGCTTACCTTTGCAAAGTTGAACAAAAGTGTAGGATCAACAACTCTTCTATTAAGCTGAACTACCGGGTCGCGATCATATCTCGATTGCTCATGAAAAACTCCCAAAGAGTGCGCCAACTCATGCGATGTCACTCCGAACTGTAAAAAATAAGGAATTTGACAATATTTTGCAATTTGGCCAAAATATCTCGTACGTGTTCACATCCTCTTCCAATGCTCAGTACTTGTCTTCCTAATTTTTCATCCTTGCCCACAGTACTCCAACATCCATCATCATTGCCAATAAATTCCAGAAACTGTCTTTCATTCGTTCTCGGGCGGAAGTCGACGCATGTTTCCGCTTGCCAGAAAGAAATTGCTCTGAGCACGCTCTCTCGGGCGCGTCCCACTAAAAAAATGAAGTTCAATTTTTTCTCTTGAAAGAAATGTTTCAATGAAACCAACTGATCAAACCAGCCTTCACTCTTGAAGACTTCATTTCCCTTCTGGACCTCAGTTCTGAAACCTCTACAACTGCTGTAAAATCAAGCAAACGGATTGATTTTACAGCAAATGTACGAGTTGACCGAACATACCGTGTGCTACCGTAATGCCGCGCGGCTTTGGAGACCAAATAGAGCATTGCACAAATTCAAGCCCCCCCCCCCCCCCCCCCATTTATGCGCCGATTAGTGTAAGGACTGTAAGGGCTAAGAACTTTGTTTTTAGTGGCGAAAATGCCAAAATAATTTGTTTTTGGCGGGAAATTCAAAACTGTCGCATTCCTCACCGTACCTAGTCGCAGCACAACAAACACATGCTGTTCATTTTCGTGCAAGTAGGTAGAAGTGCAAAAGAGCCGTATCCCTAGATACGGAAGTAGGCCCGAGTGGTTTATTGGGGAAGAGGGGGAGACGGGGGGGGGGGGGGCGGCGAAAGTTTGAATGAGTCTCAATTACACCTCCAATAAAATTTCGCTTTTTCAATAATTTGCAAGCCTAATCCCTAAGATTCAGAAATAGGGACATCGACAACCTCGGCCTCGAATTTTCTTTTTCATTAATCAATTTCACTTCTTATAAAATCCGAAACATTGAATTATATACAAGTAAAAATAAGTTGTTCGCACAGTTTTGGTCCGTGAAGGTTTGTTCCCCCCCCCCCCCTCCCCAGCGACGATTTTCAAAGCTAGATGCTAAAACTCAATAATTTTTTTTTGAATTGTGGCTAGAAGATGTTCAAAATTACACGGCCAAGGTCTCGCTCTAGGCAACTTCCTGCTGTCCAGCACTTGCTGTTTGCAGATTGATGATATAGGCTATATAATAGCGACGTAACGGGTTCTTCCTGTTGTGATAAGCATACAGATCATTTATTTTCCATCATACTGCCATTAATCTTGCTATCACCTTGTGTCTAGCATTAATTATTGTATAGACGTGTACTGCTTACCTAATGAGCTGTGTATAGAATATGGTACTCCTCCGGTCCAAATTGTTCTCGGGTACATGTAATCGACATAAGCCTTTCGCTTTCTCCTTTTCCTTTTGCCCTTGCCATCAAGTGACGCATCCACAATCGCTTGTAGGCGATCAGGATGTAGAACCATATCCGATTCGTACAGTACTGAACTGAAAATGGAATCTTTGAGGTTATATTTCATATACGGGAACCTTAGGTTGACAATGTCTCGGCAAAGTTAAGTACCTTTCTTAGAAGAAATCTTATATCTCAATCAGGTCAGCTCTAATTCTTAGCCCAGACTGTACTTTCAACCTTGTAGAAAGTACAGTCTGGGCTAAGAATTAGAGCTGACCTGATTGAACGCTGACTGGTCCTCTTGGAAAAAGTACGGTCTAGGTTTTAGATCACTCACAGTCGGGCTGGAGTTTAGAGTTGGATTCTTTAGCCGCGAAAGTACCAAGCTAAATTTTTCGAAGTTCTTGATTTGAGCTCTTGCATAAAAAACCGATTATTCAGAGAAAGTGTCCAAGTTTTAATACTTTACCTTACAATCATATCGTAGCAGCTTAAGTAAGGAGCGAAACGAGAAAGTTGTTGGTTTCTTTCAATAGATTTCTTTTTGCGGTAAAAAAAAAACTAAAATCGCTGAAATCTCCAGATGAGGAGCATGAAGTGGTGAATACTTACTTTTGAGTAGGTTTTACAGACGTCAAAAAAGCTTAAGATGAGGCATTAGGTTTTTCAAATTTATGGACAGGCAGTAGCGATGCATCAAAAAAAAAATAATTCTAAAAATAATATGGGAACTCCGAAAACAAAAATACTACCCCATCGAACTTCTGTACTATTCTTCACTCAAATAATGTGATCCTTACGAGATCAAAAGCTAAAATAGCATCTACAAGCACAAATTAATGAAAATTTCTGAATGTTTACCTGTATTTTTCATTGAGCTTCTTGATCGAGAATGTCGGCGCATCATGCTCTATAACTTTTGATTCATCCTAAAACATGATAATTGAAAAGAAAAATCAAGGGAAATGTAAACAAAAAACGAAGTCAATATGTCGCTTCAAGCTTACAAATGCTACGATTTTGTGCTCGTATTCAGTAGCAACCGACGCAGATAGAGTGTCGTAAATCCGTTGATAGTCTTGTGGTTGAACGAGGTCATGTAGCTGGAATAAAAGATACGTTACAACTGAAAAATAATGACTTTTTATTAATATCGCTCTTCATTCTATCCATAAAAGACTACTAATCAGCCCTCATTAATCAATAATGACTAATTTTTCCTTAACTTTTTCTCATCGTTAGGTCTAAAACTCCTTCGGTGCAAGTGAAAAAAATGAGTTTTCAGACAAAATTCACCTGCAAATTTCTCATACTGCAAGTTTATCATCTTGGCATACTCATCCTGTTGCACTGTGCCGATTGCATGCTGTTTAGCGTGCAGTTAGCGTGCCGCACTGGAAGCGGGTCCGATTTGGCACGTAAACTACACGCTAAAATGCATGCAATTTGGCATAGGAGGCAAAGAACTATGTACTGCATGTGGGACCTATTATACTATATGATATGATGGAAGAAAATTACTGAAATTTGAAATACTCATAAATTCCTTCAAAATTATCAGCAGGATTTCGAAATGAAAATTTGAACTTTGCGCCTTACCGTAAATGCTTTCACTGCGGTTGCAAATGCGATCAGAGAAATCGGCGCTATCAGCAAAGCACACATCATATGAAGTCACACATCCAGAGAGTTTTTCTACGTCTACGGCTATATAGCAGCAGGTTTTATGTTGTTAAACGAGATGTTCGAGCGCGCATCACATCCATTGTGGCCGAGGCCTCATAAAAACGAATCGTTCGTTGTGGCCCCATGCGGTTCCTCTTTCGGAAAAGATGATCCCCGAGTTGAATGCAACAATCAAAAACCAAACCAGAGCTAAATCCTTGGAATTCAGACACAGCATCAGTGAAATATGACCGTCTGCCGTTAAAACCATATGTCAAAGACGTTAATCCAGTCTCATTGCTGCTATAGATATTTTAGGTTCATTCTGATGGCAATCCGAAAATTTTGGCAAAAGTGTGGGGGGGGGGGGGGCGCAACACAGACTTTAAAAAAAGGAGCTTTGCAATTCTGGGATTTCTTCCAGACTTACAGCGGGCTGCCACGCCCCAAATTTTTTGTACTCATTCATTGAAAAATACCCAACCACTCACATATTTGGGAGGGAGTGCAGAAGATTCTATTGTGCTTGTTCTAATGCGCTGCTTTCAGTGCCTTATATACACTGGTACTAATTGGTTATGAAGAACATAATGTTTGTATTGTGACGTTGCTAGATTTACATATACCATCCCATCATAACCGTTATAATATATGAACCTGTAAGTGTATAATTCCTGGCAATAACACATCCTGAAATTATGCTATTGACGTTCACCCGTAATTATAGAATCTGTACAGTCCAGTGTGGTTAACCTTTCTATATCTTACCTCCTCCCTTTACCCATTCCCCCTCTCCTTCCCCTCTCATGAGCTTCCTTTGCACACGAAATGTGACTCAAAAACCCAACCAAGATCTTGGTCCCTAAAGATCTTTGATGGAACAGTAAGTGTAACCTTGAGTTAGTGTTCAAAGTTGAATCTCCCACCAGAAATGAAGCATGAGGGCTTCAGCTTGAACAGCGGCCAAACAAAAGCCTCTCACTGAATCTACGCACATCGACTTAATATTCTGCTAAGGATACAGGTTTTTAAAAAAAGAACGCGCGGCCTGTGGCGCACTACTCTTCTTTGAAACTAGAAAAAAATGTAATTTATTTTGAAAGCTCAATACCTGATTTAAGCAGTGTAAAATTGGAAATTCTTGGAATTTCTTTACCATGAGTAAGGGGCCGGGCATACTTCACGCGATTTCAGTCGCGACGCGACTTGGCAGTATTCCAACTGTCCATAACTCACCGTAAGCACATTTCAAATGAACGGAAGTTAGGTCATTTTGTCAATTCACATAAGTGATACACACTATACATGTGCAGTTTGCTAGCGTTGGATCTGAAGACTTCTGGCGAATTGCCAAATCGCGCCGCGACTGAAATCGCGTGAAGTATGCCTGGCCCTTAAGCTGAATCTTATCACTCTATCAAGAATATTGCATCGAGGGAGCTGCATTTTTTCTGTCTGGAAAATATGAAAAACATCGTATATGGACGAACGAAGTTCAACGAGTGGAGTATTGAAAGATCCTTCGTGTTGATCAAAATCTGTCAAAATCATTGATCTTCGCCTTCGACCAGCTCATAATTCACCTTGATCCAAAAGTTTTGCAGCTTTTGATATCTACTTTACCAGCTTATTCTCGAAATCTTCTATGATTACAGTAATCTTGAGAATGTGGTTGTGGTAGTCTTCTTGTCTGAAAAAAGATTAAAAATGGGAACAATTTTTCAAATTCTTGCATCTTTTCACTTTACTTCGCTTTTACCAGCGACGTCATATCTACCACAAGTGACCGAAGCGTACGAAAAATAGTGCTTAGGAGTAATGACAGACGATGCAGAGGAAAGCAGCTCTTTTTGCTGTTCCTAGAAGTTCTCAAGTCAAAAAAAGAAAGAAATATTGCCCTACAAACATGATTCGTCAATATTCGAATGTTTTTGGTAGTGGAACCCGAAAATTCCGGAGATGGGCAGGACCACCGGCTCTTTCCAAACAGCTCTGACCATCATACCGTGAGATCGCATTTTTCAACTCGAGAGCTGACTATTAGAGTTTGAACAAACACCTCATCTTCTTTTCAGTTTTCATGTATGAAGTATGTATTTCGAATCTATTTACTATGAAATATGTAATTTGAGATTTCTATTGAAAAAAATTTGTAACAAAGCAAACAAAGAGAAGCAAATATCAAGACCTACGTAATGCTATCTTTACTTATCAAAGGTTCACAAGATATGAGGAAGTTGAACTTAGAGTTATTTGTGAAATGACACTACAGGGTGTCCCAAAAGTATGTATCGAACGTTTGATCGTTAATAACTCTCTTCCCAAGAAGTCTTTTGCCTTGCTTTAGGTAACGTTTTGTAGAGCTGGCTTCAACTTAGATTTGCACTATAGAACGAATCATTCATCTCTCTTCATTACTGTAGGATTACGGTAGAAACTTGAAACATATGGTGTTAATGTGAAAAAAGCTGCCGTTTCAAAATTTTTCAAAAAAGTGTGAAAACTTGTGTATTGGGGTTTTTATGGACGCTGAGTTCAATACTCAACTATTCTAAAGGTTGCGAAGCTTTCTAAACGGTGTAACCGCACTTTTTAGGAACATTGAAAAAATGACCGCTACCTCTTATCCGGCATAACTCTTCAATGAAGCATCATAATAAGTTGGGAACTTTACAGTTACAATCAGCAACTCTAATTAGCCTAGTGTAAAAGTTTTAAGGCTGTTTTGTTTCCTTTCTGGGGCAAAATATGGCCTTTCATTGCTTAAAACCCTCCTTGAAGTTTCTACCGTAATCCTACAGTAATGAAGAGAAATGAGTGATTCGTTCTATACTGCAAATCTAAGTTGAAGCCAGCTCTACAAAACGGTACCTAAAGCAAGGCAAAAGACTTCTTGGGAAGAGAGTTATTAACGATCAAACGTTCGATACATACTTTTGGGACACCCTGTATATTTCGAGTTCTCATATGTTTCAGCATGCAATCTATTGCTTAATTTTACTACGATATTTTAATGAAATTATTGTCCAAGTCTTAGTGCCCCTTATCAACACACGATTTTCAGAAATCACTGAGTCGCAGCAGTCCTTTTAACGATTTCCTCGTTCTATTGTAATGCAAAGTTCATACCAATGAAAACAGACTTCTGTGTGTTTATAATTATTCGATGACTCGTCTGCAACAAATTTTTGCTCACTCATCGGGCGAGGCCAAAACATCACACTAATCATCAGGCATCATGGGAATGTAGTTTGATTCTGTAAATTGACAATGTCAAAGAAATATGTAATCTACCTTAGTGGTAAGTATTTTTGAACTAGAAACACTCTGCAAAAGTGCATTGATTTGAGTTTATGAAAATGAACTGCTGAATCTCAAACTATAGGTAAAGGCCCTGTCTAGAATCATGAGCTATTTTTTAATGATACGAACTCCGTTTTTTGCAAGAGTTGAGGAATAGTTTTTAGTAGGACTGGCATGATTTCAAAACAAACCATTACAGCTTTCATCTACTCAGGCAATTCACCGGAACTTCCGCAGGACCAGCAAAATTTGCAGCGGTTGCGCAGGATTTCCTTTACTATTATAAAAGTGAAAACGTTGAAAATGGGAACTTCTGCAGGATTTTCACGTCAGACCGGTTGAAAACGGGACTTCTGCAGGACTTTTTACAAAGCGCTGCGGAACTTCCGAAAAGTGCCGACGGTTCCGCAGCACTATGACATGCCAGTACTTCCGCAAGGTTTTGAATGTGCTGTTTCGTATGATGATGTTTCTCGCCAATAACTAGAGTGCATTATCGACCATTTCAGCCGTAGTGGAGAGGATAATAGATGAGTTCACAGTCAATAGAGTAAGGTTCAAATCTCGCCAAGGTGTACTCTTTTGCCGTTGTAGCTCGCATTTTTCGGAAATTCCGCTACACCTCACTTGGGAACTTCCGCAGGTGGGGCGGAACTTTTCCAAACGTTCTGCGGAAGTTCCGGTCAGTTGTCTGAGTAGCGTTAAAAGAAATAAAACTATAGATAGAATTTCAGACACAGCACGAGTGATTCGGTGCCTGTTGATCTTACCATTTGTTATTGAAAACATTCAAATCCGATTTCATGCGTCTAGGTTTGATATCGTCCCGCATATCTCAAATATTTGCAGTGTCTGGAGCCGAAATGGCTGCATCGATGGCTATCGTCTACGAAAGCAAAAAGTTGTACCCGTCGAAGATAAGCCTATTCGCTAGCATAGATAAGAAAGTGCAGATATTTTTTATGTTCTGCGAAAATTCTAGATGTGCTGTGTATAATTAATGTAACGAAATAGTAGTTGGTTCACACCTCTTGTCTAGAGATCCTGAAAAAATCGTTAAAAATATTTTCCTTAGACAGCCGACTTGAGTTTGTGAGGGTTTTCTTGATCAACGGTAACATATGACTCCGCGAAATGTCAATTAACTCCTGGGTGGCGACGCTGTGAGACGACGCGATTTTGCACAACACTTTCGGTATGGGAGAGTTTTGTGATTATTTACGAAATTCAAAGTTGTTTCGTAAACAGCTGTAAACATGTTCTTGAATGGCGAAGCCTACAGATCCCAAGAATGCAAAAAAATTGGAAAAAAATCGATATATATGGAAAAGATAGTAGACCTATAGATAATACGACTTTGCAAGAAGTGCGGGCCACCGGTGGTCCACACCGTCCCTGCAGCAAAAGGTGTGTGGGCCACCGGTGGTCCACACCGTCCCTGCAGCAAAAGGTGTGTGGGCCACCGGTGGTCCACATCGTCCCAGCAGCAAAAGGTGTGTGGGCCAACGGTGTTCCACATCGTCCCGGCAGCAAAAAATGCGTGAGTCACCGGTGGTCCACATTGTCCCAGCAGCAAAAGATGCGTGGGCCACCGCTGGTTCACATCGTCGTCAATGGATTAATTTTTTTCCGAGCCTTCCTAAAACGCGCATGACCTCGTTTTTCATCGAAAAAGTTTTTTTGAGCTGGAAAAAATTGAAAATTTTCAAAAATTTCATACTTTTTATTATAAAATTCTTATTAATTTATTATTTATTATTGTTTTTAATCATTATGAATTGCAAGATTCATGGAGCGACCTACTATCTTGAAATTCTCACCATATTTACTATCTGCTTGCTGAATTCAACTATGTATTAGGTCATTCCGAAAGTAATTTCGCTTTTTTCAAACAGGCGCCACATGTGATGGAAGAAAGATTTCTAAGAGATCTTGGTAGCATTCGATGCAGAATTTCATCCTCTTTCTAAGGGTTATGAAAATTTTGCAAAACAATCAATGAGCTTCCAGAAAATAACCAAAATCTGCGACCTATGCTTTTTTGAGATAGTCAAGTTTCACAATTTTTTAAAACTGTCATATCAATCCCCAGAAGAAGTTCAAGTAACGATTCGATAGAATAAACCTTATAGAATACATTACTACTTTTTTCTCCTTTCCATAGCTTGTCATACATTTTTAACAGAATTTTAACTGATGCTACCGATTTCCATATTTGGACTGCTAAATCCTAGTAGAACATCAAACCTTGAACAGCTCTGATGTCATTCGATGCAGCTTTTTCTCCTCTTTCTAAAGGGTGTTTTTGTTTCCGATTCGTTTAGTTTCCGGGGACAAATTCATCATAACTCATTTTTTAGGGAGCCCCAGGCTGTACCCGAAAAACTCGAAATTCGATATTTCGAACCCGTAAACGCTCACTTGCTTTGTAAAATTAATGCTAACTTATAGTACCATTTTGGTACTCTCAAATTCCGAGAAATTATGATGTTTGATGCGATTGTGGTTGAAGTGGGCCTGCCAAAATTCGATGGTTCTACTAAAAAATCTTTTAAAGAATTACGGCGGGCTACGAGAAAGGGAAAAAAGTAGCTCTGTATTCTATAAGCATTACTCTATCGAATCGTTACTTGAACTCCTTCTGAGCATTGATATGAAAGGTTTAAAAAATCGTGAAACTTGACCATCTCAAAAAGCATAGGTCGCAGATTTTGGTTATTTTCTGAAAGCTCACTGACTGCTTTGCAGAAGTTCCATAACCGTTAGAAAGAGAATGAAATTCTGCATCGAATGCTACTAAGATCTCTCAGAAATCTTTCTTCCATCACATGTGGCGTCTGTTTGAAAAAAGCGAAATTACTTTCGGAATGACCTAATATTATAGTTGGCAAAAAAATTACACCGATAAGTGTTCCAAAATGATAAAAGTGCACTGATCGTTATCAGATTGCGAGATTCGTCACCTATCGGCAAACGAACGTTTTGGAAAAGAGCAGACGACAACACTGGCACTGTTGTCACCGTGTGATATCTGCACGTGTATAAATACAATGTGGCTATTGCATGGGCCAGTTCCGTTCTGTTTTCTTTCCTTCAAATAGTGTGAAAAAACCTTCTTAAATCCTATGTTCCTCTGAACTCCTATTCTCCAAAGTTTTTTTCTCGAGAAGTAGATTCTCACAAAAGATTAGAAATGTCTCCTGTGCGTTTTCGTCAAAACTCTTCATCAAAATTCATCGGAAGCTCCTAAAACTGGATGCGGCCTTTTTGCACCGTTACGCTCCGCTACCGTAATATCGCGTTGCATCAAAACGAACATATGATTTGGTGTATCAGGCGTGTAATAATACTTTTATTAAGATCATCTGAATATAATGTTAGCGGTGTAAAAGGACCGCAAGGGTTCACATAGCACAGGATTGAGGATATTTTTACGTTTTTTATTCTTTATCCTGAATGTTGACAGTT